CATCACTCAGCTGCCTCACGAGCCAGTTCTCTGCCTGTGAAGGCAAGGACCCTCAACACTGGCATGTAACAGTATCACAGCCATTTGCATGTATCAACCTCACTCCCCATTCTGTACACAGCTCCTCACTGACTTAGCCATCCCTCTGAAACTCACTCTTACATACATTTCCAGAATACAAACTGGAGGACTCTTGAAATTGTCTAGGGAAGAACATTTCACAGTGGTTCTCCTGGCCAATGCCCATCCTAATGCCTGTGTTCTTGCTCTCCTATTCTTAAGCTTCCTCCCTTGAATCATACTACACGTCTGCTATTGCTAATCAAAAATTTAACCAGTTGTACCTCCAGGGATACCAATCTCTCCGAAACACGAGGTTGGAGGATTGGCTCGAGACTCCTTATGACCTATGGCTACAAGGGACCTTCATCAACTTCAGGGAAGAGGAAATCTTCATTTTTGGAGCCTGGGTGTACGCCATCATGAGGCTCAGCACCCCAACATTGTTTGCCAACTAACACTCCCTTCCCCTACGCCGCCCCTTGCCAGCTTGAAGAAGCCAGAGCAAACACAACGCCCCCCTTTCTTAACAAACAAAAAAGGGAGGAATGTTGGCAATAATGGCGCCGATAGGTTTTGGTTCTTATTGCACCCTTCAGCTTCTGTCTCCCAGGGTCACAGTCCTGCCTCAAGTCTAGCTTGAATTCTCCTTCTGTCCCAACCTCCAATCAACATGAACCATAAGATCCTAACCAATCAGATCGGGTATTTAAGCCCCTGCCTCTCTCTCTCTCTCTCTCTCTCTCTCTCTCTCTCTCTCTCTCTCTCTCCCACCTGGCAATTGGTCAGATCAGTCCTCTCCACGTGGTCACTTTGGGGCCTACATTTGCCTACACATACAATTCACTTCCTCCAAATCCAATTATTTAATGAGTATTTATTAATCTACCCATACTTTTATTGCACATACTGTAAGGGGACAAGTGTGAGGTGAAATAAAATGGCAGAAATGTCCCCAGGGACAAACAACAGAAATAATCCTGATTATTACAAAGGGATGGATGACAGAAGTAACTTTGTTGTAAGTAAAGGAGCTAGGAAGGCATACTTAAAAGAAAAACATTTAGGGAGACTGAGAAACCAGCTTAGCACAGAGGTGCTGAGGCACAGTAGTTTCTCTTCCTAGATAAGGAAAACAAGGTAAAACATTCCTAAAGACAGCCACGCAAAGGAGTGAGATATAGACTCCTAAAAAGAGAGTAACAAAGCAAACGTTCCCAAGATAAATAAAAAGGGGTCTCATCTGAACAAGCAGTAGTCATAAAATGTAGGTGATAAGCATCAAAGACAGGACAGACCCTCTTGGAATGATCAGTCTGATAAGGATGGAGGGAGGGGAGCAATTAGATGGTCAGGCTTGACCAAGTCAGTTAGGCAGTCATTTACAGACAATGTTGAAGGCAGAGTGGGAGAGGGGTGCCTAAATTATCCTCTACATAATCTCATGAATTTTGCTTATCCTACAGTTTAGCTCTTTGGGCTTAGCTCTTTCACTAAGTCCTACCTGTCAGGGTGCTTTGCTATCCCTTCAATAAACTTTGTGTTTGCTTTACTGTTTTTTGTTTTGTTTTGTTTTGTGATACTAGGGCTTGAACTCAGGGCCTACACCTTGAGCCACTCCACCATTCCTTTTTTGTGAAGGGTTTTTTCGAGGTAGGGTTTGCCTGGGCTGGCTTTGAACTGAGATCCTCCTGATCCTCCTGATCTGCCTCCTAAGTAGCAAGGATTACAGACATGAGCCACAGATGCCTGGCTGCTTGCTTTACTCTTAATTCCTGGTCTGTGGCATGAACTTGCTTTAACTCTTAACTGCTTGTCCAGCACCTTCAATCATTGACTGCGCCAATTCAGTCCAGTATTAATACCAGAAGAAAAAGCCCTGAAAAAGATATAAAATGTAAGTGTGGAAGACTATCTATAAATGTCTGCCAATACTTTCTCAGATCGCTGTTACTGCATGCTGCTTCTCAGTTCAAAATACAGCATGCATTTCCTTACCCCCTTGAAGATAAGGTGGAGCAGCAGAATGTAGTACAAGTGACACCATGACTTCTTGGCCTCATTTCTATCCAGCCTTGCAACTTCTGTTTTTGCCCTTTGGGATCAAGCCTCTATGCAAGTAAGTCTGGGCTAGACTGCTGAGTAATACACGATGTGGGAAAGGAACCACAACAATGAGACACCAGACATGAGTGAAGACATTGCTTAGCCCCAGAAAGTTCACAGCTGAATACAACCTCCTGATCTACCCCAACACACAACAAAATGGAGCAGAATTAACCAGCAGAACCCAGATAAACTAGAAAATGTTAAGTATTGTTTTCAGTCATGGCTTACAGTGTATTGTTGTGTATCAATGGATCATTGAAACAAATGGATTTGGATCAAATAAGGTAATCACCCTAATTCCTCTACTTTCAAATCCCAACTTGTGTCTACAAGTAATTCATTTTCTCTTGTTTGCAATGTTCCTTTTACTCTTTTTGTTATTATTTTTTCTCTTTTGAGACAATTTTTCTATGTAGCCCATTCTAGCCTCAAAATTCCCAAGTGGTGGAACTACAAATGTGTGCTGCCTCACCCAACTTTTAATAATTTAAAAATCATTTTTTCAATTTTGGTTTTGTTTTGTTTGGGGGTTGTTTGGTGGTACTGGGTGTTGAACCCAGGGCCTTGAGTATGCTGGGCAAGTGCTTTACCACTTGAGCGTAAACACTAGATCTTTATTTTTGAGTTGAGGTCTCAATTACTTTGCCCAAGTTGGCCTTGAACACAAGATCCTCCTGCCTCTGCCTTCCAGTAGCTGATTACAGGTATGTTCCACCATGCCTGGTCGAAAGCCTTTCTTTCTCTTTCCTTCTTTCTTTCTCTCCTCCCTTCTTTCCCTCCCTTTCTTTCCTTTTTATGGCACTGGAGTTTGAAATCAGGGCCTCACATTTTCTTAGCAGGCATTCTACCAATTGAGCCACACCAGCCCTGTTTTGTGCTGAGTATTTTCACGATAGGGTCTCATGAACTATTTGCCCAGGTTGACTTCAATGTGCGATCCTCCTGATCTCTGCCTGCTAAGGAGTTAGGATTAGTGGTGTGAGCCACAGCACCAAGCTAAAGCTTATGTTCTTTATCAACAGTTTATACCAGAGACTTGCTCATATCAACCTCAAGAAGCTTTCTGAGAAACATGTATCTCTTTTAGCCCAATATTTTTCTTATTTCATCAGGAATGTATTTGTTGACTCACTATTCTAGGCACTGGAAACATAGTAATTTAACCCTAATTGATACACAACTCTTTTTCTTCTCCCAATTGAGTAATGTTAAAGTTATTCAACTTTCATAGCCAAGCAGATAGTGTCATACTACAATTCATTAGACCCACCTCTACAGCTCTCATCAAATTATGTCCTCCACCATGTACCACTGATCATTCTCTTCCACATCTGAAATGTTCTACAGCCTTTTCTGCTTTGCAAAATTCAGCCTTTTCCAAGAAGCCTCTACTGATTAGGCCAATCAAACATACTCTCTTTTATAGGTCATTTATAACCTACATCAGTGGTTTCCAAACATGGCTGTTAGAGTCACCTGAGGAATTTTCTTTTCTTCTTTTGTGGTACTGGGGGTTGAACTCAGGGCCTCATGATTGCTAGGTAGGTGCTCTACCACTTGACCCACTCCACTAGCCCTTTTTTGTTGGATATTTTTGATAAGAGTCTCGTGAACCATTTGCACCAGCTGACTTCAAACTGAGATCTCTGCCTCTTAAGTAGCTATTACTACAAGTGTGACACCAGCACCTAGCTTGTGTTGATTATTTTTGAAATAGGGCCTTGCTTTATGCCCATGCTAGCCTGGACTTCGATCCTATTTGTGCTTTCCTACATAGTTGGGATGACAGGCATGAACCACTATGCCCAGCCATTGTTTGAGATGGGGGGGGTCTCAAAAACTTTTTACCCAACGTGGTCTTAAACCCTAATCCTCCTAATCAGCAAGGATTATAGGTTTGAGCCACCATGCTCTGCCTTTCTTAGGGCTTTTAAAATTACAGCAGTCATACTCTGAAAAAAGCAAAAGATTAAGCAATCTAAATGTAAGAATGGGACTGGCAGTGCTGTTGGAGTGGCTCAAGTGGTAGAGCGTTTGCCTAGCAATCATGAAGCCCTGAGTTCAAACTCCAGCACTGCCCTCCCCAAAAAAGAGAACAGGATTGGCTGAGTCATTATGGTACATTATGTGAGTATTTAAAACAATCTCCAAGTTCTATTACATAAAAAGCCAAGGTATGTATGTATGAAATGTTACTTTTTAAAAAATACATAAGCTTGTGCATGTACAGTAAATATGAAGATTAAAAAGGAACTTGAGTGCAAGGAAGAGGCTGCAAGAAAACTTTCCATCTGATATCTGATTACCCTCTTATAATTGTATTTATGGATAATTTTTAATTATTAAAAAAACAGGTAAAGGAGAATGATGGAGGGGGTAAATTCAGCAATGATATATTGTAAGAACTTTTGTAAATGTCACAATATACCCTCAGCACAATAATAAATAAATAAAAACATGCCTGAGGGAGTATGTAGACAAGTAGAACACTTGTCTAACATGTGGAAGGGCCATGAGTTTAATACCCAGCACAACAGTAACAACAAAAAACCTACATGGACGCCCATGACTCAGTTAATCTCTACTGATCAGTCCTTAGGGCCTGGGACCAGGCTTTTGAAATATTAAACTACCTACATGATTCTCTATGACCAGTCAGGCTTCATACCCCATCTATCTCACTAACATGGTACTATTAAAATGTGTAGGATATTCTACGCTTTTTTGCTCTTCCTATAATTTACCCTCAAGAGAAGTTACTATGCAGTATGGGGGTCCTAATATTTTTGATGAAAGTAATATAAAAAGTAGAATTCCATTTTTCTATTATATTTCATTTCATTTCTATTACATTTCATTTCAGTATAGAAGGATCTTTAGAAACACTTAAATGCCCAGTACTGAAAACAAAACAAAACACAAAAGCCTTTTAATACAAACATACCAAGACTAAGGGACAATTAAAAAATCATGATAGAGCACTTGCCTAGCTCATGCAAATTCCTGGATTTGATCCCAGGGTGTCAAAAAGTGGCAACAATAAACTGTTGTCACCAACTTTTGTTTTTTAAAAAAGCCATATAGTTACACTATAAAGGACAAGTGGTGAAGTCCAAATCTAAGACCCTAATACTTAGAGACAAGACAGGCTTTATAGTTTACAGGAATGAGTAGAAACAGCGCTTAGAGGAAAATAGTTATTTGAATATCAGATTCCAAGGAAGCCCCATTTTATTATTATTTCCTCATAGGGAAAAGTCCTGTTCCCCTTCTCCAGGGTGATAAATGTGCTTCTTCCAGTTTCCAGTTTTCTTCTCTACCGGTACTTCCCATGTCGGTTAAAATGTTTGTAGAGATAGCTGATACGTTTGTTAAGGTTGTGCAGGTCATCAAGGAACATCCTATTTCCAACCATCTTCTTCTTTCGGATACAACGCTGCAATTCATTCCCTTTCCAGCCTCGAAGCCATACCGGGCCTTTGATCAGTTCTTTGGGGTGCTTTTCAAAGTTTCCTGTAGAATGTGAGAGAACATACTAGTTTCAAGACAAGAGAACCCAACCTAGACCAGCTAAGACTTCAATCACAGTTGCATATTCCTATACATAAGGTATGACAGTATGGTATCAAGAGCACAGTCTTGGCCTCCTGGTGCTTACCACAGGCTGTGTTCTTACACTGACTGCATAAAAAGAGGAGACAAAGTAAACCTACTCCATATACACCTCGGCCCAGACCCTGTGCCTGTTCTGTACTGTGAACGGGGAGACAAGGGGGGACGGGAAAAAAAGTAAAGTCTTTGGAGCCAGGTATGTTTGGGTTTCAAATTCTGACACAGCCATTTACTAGTGTTGGAAAATTAACCTAACCTCTTGGTTCTCTCGGTTTCCTTACTTACAAAGTGATAATGTTAATGTGAGGATTAAATTAGATAACACACGGGGCACTTAGAACAGTGCCGCAAGCAATGACAACAGTTATATAAGTGCTTGCTTTTATTATTGGGAAGGTATCATTCTCTACACAAGTGAAAACGATAGACGTTCCAGTAAAACAGTGCTTCTGAAACTCGTATGGCGGGGCAGGTCAGGTCTTACCCAGGATTCCAATGTTGTCATATACTCCGAACATAGCCCTTTTCTCATTCCAACGATCGACCACTTTGGGGGGAGGAAGGGTAAGCCTTACACGGGACAATCCCGGAACACCTAAGTATTGGGTAGAAAAGAAAAGAATCAGCGCTGCTTACTAACTAGCGGATCTCGGGGCGTCTATCTACAGTAGTCACTTACCCAGAGAGAAACTTCTGCAGGCCAAGGGCACCCAGCCAAACAGGCTCCTACTTGCCCAAGAGAGGCCCCCTGTCATTGCGCTAGTCTCTCACTCTCAACTACACATCAAACGAGCCAGACAACGAGGACCCGGCGTGGCCTTCAAGAGCATTACAAAAGAGATAGTCCCGGCCGACCTCACGCTGGTAATGAGACGGAGGCAGCCATCTTGGGCTTTACCCAGGTAGCTTTGGGCGCAGGGCCCGCCTTGTCCACGCCTCCCCCAGCCACAAGACCCGCCCTCCGAGTTCCGGCCGGCCGAGGCCTGGACTGCCAGCCCTGTCTAGATGCTTCCGGTGTGCTCGCCTCAAGTTTTAGGTCGCCGGAAGCGCTGCGGTATGTTACTCGTGGCTGTGTAAGACTGCCCTGCACTGAAATTCCAAGAAAATTTACAGTGTCCCGTTTTCTTGGGCATCCTCAACTGTGAGGGAAATAAAGGATCAGAACCTGAAACCCGGAGCTTTGAAATATTCAAAGACCAAGCCTTTTCTGTGCCCCACCGCAGTCTTGCGTTTCGGTAGTTTTTATTACTCCCATTTTACACGGCAGGAGATTGGAGGCTCGGTGACGTGATGGATGTCACATAGCGGAGATGGCAGAACCTGATTAGAACCCAATCCTAAAACGCAGCCTGGACTTGCCACCTGACCTGGGAGTGGCTAAGGGGCATTACCACTGCCCAACTAGGAAGGCGACACCCCTGACAGGAACTGCTAGGGTCTCCTGCCCACAGACTGCCGCAAGGCAGGAACCTGAGCATCAGCCTGCAGCGTCCCTCCGCGGGAGGCGCAGGGGCGGAGCCTGGCTAAGTCCCGCCCCTCGTCCGCGCGCTCCGGCTTCCGCGCTAAAATTGGCCGGCCTCTCTAGCCAGCGTCGCGATTGGTTCCCGTGCAGCGGTTGGGGTTTGAATTCTGTGTTGGTGGCTTTGCCCGCGCGGTCACTGGCTCGGAGGCGGGTCTTTGCCTCAGCCTTCCGAGGATTGGCCAGTTTCTCCGCCAATTTGAAAACTGCTTCACTGATTGGTGCGTATTGTGCACTCGTGTTTTTGTGGAACCATTTCAGCCAGTCGACCAGAGTCAGAGGAGCCGCGGGTAAGGAGAGATGTGGTATGGGCAAGGGGCTGGGAGTGAAAGACTGAGAAAATCGGGTACGGACAATATGATGTAGGCTCGGGCAATACGCAGTCGGCAGGGAGGTCGAGGAGGATCATTCTTGCGGTCTGATGTGGTGGAAACAGTGTCTGACAGATCTGAAACAGATTGTGTGTTAATTTGGGCAAATCGCTTAACCGTAAATTTAATCGGGTTGCATTATTATGCACTGCGTGGGATTGAAATGAGGAGCGTTAGGTCGTATATGAAATACAGCCTAACCGAACCTGGCACAGGATGAGCAACTAGGTAACGTTCCTGCTTTCCCGTTATGGAGCCAGGACACCAACTAACCCATGCTGGGCCACTGCATTCTCCTTGGCTTAAGGCGTTTTACATATTAAGATAGAAATAATGACGCTAGCTTTACATATTGAGGTGTCACTGCAGTTCTTTAAGCACTTTTATACCCCCTTCATTCATTTGATCCTCAGAGCAACTTTGTGAAGTTACCAGAGGTTGCTAGCAGAGGCCCAGGGGTTACGTGACAACGTGACCAATTGACAGAGTCATGGATGACAAGAATTAGATTCTAGACCAGGGCTGATGTCTTCTTTTGTGTGTGTATATGTTACTAAGGTTTTGGACTCGGGGCCTTGCCCTTGAGCCACGCCCCCAGACTTCATCTCCTTTCACATCTTCAAAAATAATAGAAGCTTGTTGTAAGACTAAAAAAACATACATATTGGAAGAGGGGAAATAATTGAACCAGATAAAAAGACATCTTAGATTTATATCCTGGCTTTTTTGCTGTTTGATTTCTAGTCCTGTGAGCCAGTGGAAGAAGGATGCCTCCCCAACTGTATGAGTTCCATCTTCCCTTATCACCAGAGGAGTTGTTAAAAAGTGGAGGTGTGAATCAATATGTTGTACAAGAGGTACTGTCTATCAAACATCTGCCGTCCCAGCTTAGAGGTAAGACTCCATGACTACCGTTGTATCTAGCATCACACATGTAACACATTGTCCTTTCTGTTTTGTTACCGTGTGAAGTGAAGCTCCATGAGGACAACAAACATGTCTTTCTCATTCTGTTTTCTCCCTGGCATTCCATGAGATTCATGACACAGGGTACACTCATTGGCTGTCTTTCCTGAATTTTTCAATAAACAGTCTTGGTGATTATGGTTCCTCTTTGGGAGAAACTGTTTTAGATCTTTATCCCTTACCAAAATAAAGTTCTGGTAGATTTAAGAGTCATAGGAGATGCACAATGAGGCCAGCCTGGGCAAGCAAGAACCCATTTTAACAACATGCTGGATGTGGTAGAACACATCTGTAATCCCAGCTACATGGGAGGTGTAGGTAGGAGAATCATGGTCTGAGGCTGGCCCAGGCAAAAGCAGGAGACCTTATCTGAAAAATAACTAAAAGAAAAAGGGCTGGGATGTGGCTCAAGTGGTAGAGTTCTTGCCTAGCAAGTGCGAATCTATGAGTTCAAATCCCAGTACTGTCCAAAAAAAGTTACAGAAGATAGCTTTGTCAAGTCTGGCCTTTTTTAGGTAACACTTTTTTAGAGTCTAGATATCTTGTTTCCATTATGTGCAATAAAGGAAAAACAGTATACAGCTACCATACCAAATGAACTACAGTCATGCCTTGTTTAACAAAAGGGATGTGGGGATAGCCGAGAATCCTATTGTCAGGTGACTTCATCATTATGGGAACATTTTAAAGTACCCTTGCACAAACCTAGATGGTATAGCCTACTACACATTTAGGTTATATGGTATAACCTATTGCTCCTAAAGCCATAGTAAATAAAACAACAGGAGATTAAATGAAGAACAAGAGAAAATAATGCAATTAAATGAATATGTGAGGCTGCTTCTGGAATAACATGGAAAACCATTTTATGATCAGCTTTTTAGCATAAATTGTGCAAAGGCATTTCATTGTGATAATTGTGTACCTACATATAATGTTGCTTGTGCAAATTTATCCTATCTATAGGATAAACTTTTTTCTGATCAAAACATTTAATTAACAAAAACAAAATATTACAATAGCAGAGAAAATAATAATAATAAAGAGAAAAGTATCAGTGGGAGTCAAGGTAAAAAAAAAAAAAAAATTGCAGAGGCCTTGGTCTCTAGGAAACCAGCACTCCAGCTGAGCTGGCCTTAGCCCCAGCCCCTTCTGAGTTTTCCTTGGCTGCTGGCTTCTCATCTTCCCCCATGAGACGAATGTTGTGCTTTTCCTAGAGCTCATTGAGTTCTTTTCCCTTTGCTTGAAGTTGCTATGGAAGTGTCTCAATGATCTTCTGTATCTGCTCCTTGTTATTCTCCAAGGCAGGCAGCACCTCTTTGACAGTCTGTTCTACCAGCACACCTCCAACCATGCGGTAGCACTTGTGGGTTTCATCAGCCTCTTTCAGTGTATCAATCACTAGGCTATGCTCATTCAACTCCATCTCCAGCTCAGCTGTTTTGGATGCCAGGCCGATTGAAGCCAGCAATTACCTGCTCGGCCGACACTGCCCCCTTGCCCAAGCCACTCTTGCTGCTCTTCTAAACCTTTTTTTTTCCTTTGTTTTTCTGGGGTTTTTTTCTTTTTAAACTTTTTTTTTGGTGGGACTGGGATTTGAACTCATGGCTTCGGGTTTGCAAAGCAGGCACTCTACCACTTGAGCTACACTTCCAGTCCATTTTGCTCTGATTATTTTGGAGATGGAGATGGGGGGGGGGTGGTCTCTTAAACTACTTGCCCAGGCTGGCCTTGAACCTCAATCCTCCTGATCTCAGCCTCCCTAGTAGCTAAGATTATAGGTGTGAGCTACCGGTACCTGGCTAAATTTTTTCCTTTCTTTTAGTAGTTTGTTTTTTTAAATAAGTAAAAGAAATATACTCTAAAAGGTCCTGGTACAGTGGCTCATACCTGTAATCCCAGCTACTTGGGAGGCAACGTCCAGGCAAAAAGCACAAGATCCTATCTGAAAAATAACTATACCTGAAAAGGGCGTGGCTAAAGTAGCCCAAGACCTGAGTTCAAACCCTAGAACTGCCAAATTAAATAAATAATACATTTAAAAGTATGGTATACTAAATACATAAACCAGTAACAGTCATCTGTTATCAAATATATACTATACATAATTGTGCTATATACTTTTGTAGGACTTGTAGTATAGTAGGTTTGTTTACACCAACATCACCACAAATATGTGAGTAACGCATTGTGTAAATTTTATAATGGCTGCAACAACACTAGGAATACTAACTTTTCAACTCTATTGTAACCTTACAAGACCACCATCACATGCAATCCCTCACTGACCTCAAGGACAGTATGTGGCATGTGGTTGTATGTACAGTGTAGTTACCAACTGAAATCTACAAATGGTCAAAAACAACTTGTTTGTTACCAACAAGACCCCATAATGCCATTGTACTTTTGAAATTGGTTTGTGTCCGGTTGCTTTGTAAAGGTATATGTGGAATGGAGGACTTTGGAGCCAGGCTGCCTGGATGTGTGAATCTTGAATAAGTTAATGAATTCTCTCTGTGACCTAGTTCACTTACTGTCTCCTACAACGAGAAGGGTTGGTTAATGGAGCAGCTTGATAATATGACCTCAGCCTCTCTCCTCCTGGCCTTTGCGTTATGGCTGTCAGATGGTCCGAAAATGGGAAAGGGCATTTCTGTCTATGCTCTTTCTTTCTTAAAAACTTTTCCACAGCCTCCCGAGAGTCTTACTCAGAATTGGATCGTGTGCCAATTCCTCTAATTGCTGGTAAGGGAAATGGAACTGCCCAGATTAGCTAAACTGATAAAGCTTATTATCCAGGAGGCTTCCTAAACCTCAACATATCATTTGTGAGTCAGGAAGTACACCATTCTACCCATATTTTTAGATATGAGCATCACCAGTCACACATGCTGCATACTGTAGAAAATTGTGCTTCAGTTATTACAGTGCATCATTTTTAAAATGGATGGTATATTTATTTTGTGGTGCTAGGGATTGAACCCAGCGCCTGTGCATGTTAGGTAAGCGCTCTACCACTTGAACCATGCCCCCAGCACTTTTTAAATTTTGTTTGTGAGACAGCATCTGCTACCCAGGCTGGATGGTGGTTTTTTTTTTTTTTTTGACCAGGCCAATAAGTTCATTAATTTTCTACATTTACCTTTCTCTCTTGCCTGGACAATGGCATCACCTCCTGAGTCTTTCTGCTTCTAGTTTTGCTGGTGATTGTTTTTGAATCCTCTTTAGGACAATTACATTGCTTGAATAAATTTGGTGTTTAGACTCTAAACACCAAATAATTTCTACTAAAATCAAACCATTTATTTCAGTCATGTGCTATATGCCAGATTTGTTGAGTTGTAGGGGTACAACAGTAAATAAAACAGACAAGATAACAAAATTCTTTCTCTCAAGGCAACTCAGAGGCATAAAAGTTTGAGAAGTACCGATCTCCAGAGGTTTTAGGTGAAGACTAGCTTCAGTGTGAGTACTCTGGAAAGCCATTGAGTTTTGAGCACAAGAGTGATATAGTGTGACATTTTTTATTTTGGCCATACTGAGGTTTGAACTTGGCCTTGTGCTTGCAAAGTAGGCACTGTACCACTTGAGCCATACCTCGAAAATTTTTTTTATTTATTTTTTTTTGCAGTACTAGGGCTTAAACTCAGGGCCTCTTTCTACCACTTCAGCCATGCCTCTAGCCCTGGTCTGACTTTTTTTTAATGTGTGTGGTACTGGAGCTTGAACTCAGGGCCTATACCTTCAACCACTCCACCAGCCCCTTTTTGAGATGGGTTTTTTTTTTTTGTTTTTTGTTTTTTGCTTTGAGATAGCGTCTTACAAACTATTTGCCTGAGCTGGCTCTGAACCACGATCCTCCTGATTTCTGCCTCCAGAGTAGCTAGAATTACAGGTGTGAGCTACCAGTACCTGGCTTGGTCTGACATTTAAACTTTTCTGTGTTGAGCAAAGGCTTTAAGAGGCAAAGAAAGAAGTAGGGGGAAGTAAAAGGTTATTTAAAAGCTGGGAAGATGAGAAAGAATCAGTAGAAGAAACTAAGGATCAGTCATTGGGACAGAAAATAAATGAAATTGCTAAATTAAGAGAATGTTTCAAATATGGTGGATGGTTTTATATTCATATATGAAAGTAGAAGAATGAAATCTGTTGAAATCGTTCTAAGGAAGGAAGGGGAAAGAGGGAGAAAGATGGAGGCAGTAAATATTAAATACATTGTAAATATCACAATGTATCCCACTGTACAACTATTATATGCTAATAAAACTTAAAAAAAAAGAATGTTTCAAAAACAGGAGAGGTGACATATTTATTACTGGGTTTAGAGATATGGCGATCTAATAACCTTGACAAAAGCAGATTCAAAGGAATGGCGGGTGGGGGGGAAATCGTGACTGGAATAGGTTTATGAGAAAATGAGAGGGGAGAGATTGGAGATGATGAGTTCAGATAATGGCTTCTTTTTAAAAATGGGACTCTTACCTGTGGTGTTCTCAGTGAGAATGATCAGGAAGGGAGAGAGAAAACCCAGGGTCTCACACATGCTAGGCAAGTGCTCTACCACTGCACACCTAGCCTACAACACTAAATTTGAGAAAAGTGATATGAATTCAACAATGCAAACACTATGCATAGAAAAGAGACTGAAAAAAAATAGCCAGATGTTAACAGTGCTTGTTCTTTCTCTTTTCCATTTTTCCATATTTTCCAGATTACAGAGGAAGTTTTTACAGAGTGACTAACAGCTTATACTTACTGAGTTTTGTTGTGTTTTATCCATTTTGTGCTGCTATAACAGAAAACCTGACACTGGGTAATTTGTAATGAACAGAAATTTGCAGCTTTTTTGGAGACTGGGAACTCCAAGATCAAGGAGCTAGCATCTTGTATTTTTGTTGTTGTTCTTTTTTTGTCTTTGTTTTTCTTTCTTTTGTTTTTGTGGCAAGCATCTTCTTGCTATATTATTACAGAGCAGAGGGCAGAAGGGCAACAGCACAAACCCAGTCCTGAGCCCCTTTTTAATTATTTGTTCATTTTGGTTTTTTGAGACCGAACAGGGTCTTGCTTTGTACTCCAGTAGTAATGAACCTATTCGGTGCCTAGAGCTTGATTTCTACAAACTATTCTCCCATAAAAGGAGCCAGGACTCCACTGAGAGTGGCTGATTCCAGGGCTGGGCCAGGGATAGTATGAGGTGAGCCTAGGACATCTTGTGATATAAGAAAGTAAGAGCAGAAGTGAAGCAAAGGAACGTCTAATGCCCAAGTATGGGACAGCTTGAGCAATAAAATAAATAGTAGTAGATGAAACACAGAATAAAAGGAACTATCCATGAGTCCATTTCAATATAAATAAGCAGTTTAATAAATAAAGAGAAAGGGTCAGCTCATCCATACAGTGGGATTCTCATGAGTAAGCATAGAAGGAATGATGGAAATAGAAAATAACTAATGAGTAAACACCGCAGTAATGATTGTGACGGGGGGGAAATATCCATGGATACTTAAATTAGTGACCACAACTATTATGTGAAGCAGGGTGTATACATAATTTCAAAGTATTTTCCCAAGATACAGTCATGCATAGCTTAACAAAATACATTTTGAGAGCTATCATTAGACAGTTTTGTCACTGTGTGAACATCATAGTGTAATGCTGTACAAACTAAGATGGCTGCTACATCACTGGTGATACAATCTTACGGGACCACTGCCATTGATGTGGTCCATCACTGACTGAAACATCATGTGTGCGTGGCTATGCTTATTAAATTACAAAGGAGAAATAACTTTAAACGTCAACAGTACTAATATTGTCATTGTCTATCTCTTTTCTTATGTTGCTGTTTGTTCATTTTTTGTTTTTTTTCTTCAGTACTAGGGACTGAACACAGGTCCTTGCACTTGCTAGGAAAGTGCTTTACCATTTGTGCCAGCCCCCACAACTGCTTTTTAGTTTTTGAGATAAGGTCTTGGTAACTGCCCAGAGGGGCCTCAAACTTGCAATTCCCTTGCCTGTGCCTCCTGAGCAGCTAGGATTGCCAGCACGTACTACCATGTCCAGTTCATCATGTACTTTCTTGATCTGATGGATGAGAAGGACCCAAGCCTTCCTTCTGTGGTAGTCTTCCCAAAATACATAACCTTAATATAATCATGAGAAAATATCAGGCAAGCCTAGTGTGGTGGTACATGCTTGTAATCCCAGCACTCAGGATGTAGAGGCAGGAGGATCACAAGGTTAAGTCTACCTAGGCTACACAGTGAGTTCAAGGCCAGCCTGGTATATATAGAGATACCCTGTCTCAAAACACCAAAGGCTGGGGATATAGCTTAGTGGTATAGTGCTCACTTAACATGCACAAGACCCTGGGTTCAATCCCTAACACTGCAAAAAAAAAAAAAGAAAAGAACAAAAAAAACCCAGCAACCCAAATTGAGGGACATTCTATATAATAACTCACTATTACTCTTCACAAGAATGTCAAGATCAAGGCTGGGGAATGTTAGCTCAAAGGATGAGTGTTTGCCTAGCATGCACAAGGCCTTGGGTTTGATCCCCATACCACCAAAAAAAAAAAAAAGAAAAAGTGTCAAGATCATGAAAGGTAAACATTGGAGAAGTCTAAGGAGACATCAATTGAATGCATTTTGAATAGGATTTACTAAAAAGGCCTCTTTTCCCCTCCTAACTGATCAGTTTCTTTCATCTTTGTAGCATTTCAAGCTGCCTTCCGAGCTCAGGGGCCCCTTGCTATGCTGCAGCACTTTGATACTATCTACAGCATTTTACAGTAAGTAAGATACGCAGCTGGTACTTTAAAAAGAACTGGTAGGCTGTTTGCCTAATTTTGCATGTTAGTCCTGAAATTCCAAATTACAGATTCACTAATAAGTGGCTCTGGGTGCTGATAGCTCTACTAACATGCTTTTACCCAACTTGCCAGAATATGTATTTATTCACATGTATTTTCAAGCAGTAGATTCCTCAACTTAGATGTGAACCGTTAGAATGGGCTCTGCAGGTCCCTGTCTCACCCCCTCACTTTCTTTCCCTCATAGTCACTTTCGAAGTATAGATCCTGGCCTCAAGGAAGACACTCTGGAATTCCTGATAAAAGGTGTTCATGGGTCAGGGGGTAGGGGATGGAACGTGTTTGTTTGTATGTTTACTGTTTCCTACATTTTATCAGCCAAGTGATGATATCAAGGCTGTTGTGATTCAGTTGGTTTGGCTAAGCCCAGGGGCCTTTGATCTATGAAGGTCTGTAATCTTGGTGGACGATACAGAGTTATGTGCGTTCACTGTAAGGGCAGACCAACAAGAACTTTTTCCTACTTTTGAACCACCTCTCTTTAATAGGGGTGATTCTTCCAGTTGCCAGGGAGAAATTGTGTCAGCTAGAGTGAGAGTAGGAACAAAACATGTTTAAGGTATCGGGGTCGAGGGTCTTACAGGACTTAGCTGTGTTATGGCCACTGAGAGATGAAACACAGATCTTTGGTAATCTGATGGCTGCAAGTGCTAGGTGTTTAGAAGTTGGGGTATATGAAGAAAGTGAGTGAAACCAACTCCCAGATTCTGCCTCCCACAGTGGTATCCCGCCACTCCCAGGAGCTTCCAGCCATCCTGGATGATTCAGCTTTGAGTGTATCAGATAGAAGTGCCCATCTAAATGCCCTCAAAATGAATTGCTATGCCCTAATACGCCTCTTGGAATCCTTTGAGACTGTAACCAGCCACACAAGCCTCATGAACCTGGACGTGGGTGGAAAGGTAATTCGGAGTTCCTGGCTCACATATATGGGGTAGGGTAATTGATGGGAAAGAAGAGAACCCAATGATTCTGAGAATGCTTATTGTCCTTATTGAGGGTTAGGAGGAAGTACTCAAAGGTTTCACAAAATCTCCTCTGACAAGTAGTTCTGTACTTTGGAATTTGTAGTGCTTCTCTATCACCTTCTCCTTGTCTTCATACTGGATCATTTGTGGATGTAGACTGGCAGATCTTCACCCTATTTGTTTCCTTACTTTTTCTAAATGCATACATGGTCATTTTTAGGGTAAGAAAGCCCGGACTAAGACAGCCCATGGCTTTGACTGGGAGGAAGAGAGACAACCAATTCTTCAGCTTTTAACACAGCTACTCCAGTTGGACATTCGTCACCTATGGAATCACTCAATAATTGAAGAGGAATTTGTCAGGTGGGTAGTTAGGATGGCTGCAGGTAATAGTGACTTATGAGGAATGAGCACTCTGTTGCTAGCTATGCCTTTTAAATGCTTCATTTCATGCCTCAGTTCTATTTCTAACACATAGAAATGTAATCATGACATGGAGTTGATAGGAAGAAGATGAAGGAATATTAGGAACAATGTGAATTTATCATCTCTAGTGCCCATTTATTTATAAATAAAAACATATTTACTAAGAATGAGATGGGCATTATATACCTTGGAAATAAAAGGTTTTGCCCTCTAGGAGTTTATATTATAGTAGAAGACAATGTGAAATATGCTGCATGTTTTATGGCTTATTACTATGGAGCAAAATAGAGGGGGATGGGAAGCTTAGTGGGAAGGGCTATGATTTTAAGCCAGCTGTTCTAGCAAGACCTCTTTGATATGGCAACATTTAAGCAAAGATCCAGAGGAGGTGAATGAGAGATTTGAGAATGTTTGGAGGAATAGCAAGAGCAAGAAAAAGGAATAGCAAGTGCAGTGAACCTCAGGATGGAGTATGTCCAGCATGTACCAATAATAGAGAGGCCTGAGAATCCATAGCTGAGAGAAGGTGAGGGGATAGGCTATGAGGTCAGGGGAACAGTGAGGAGCCAAACTGCAGAGCCTGGTAGGCCATCATACTGACTTTGGCAATTTTTCAGAGTGAGATGGGGCCACTCATAAGCAGAGCAGTTATCTGACTCACTTTCACAGGGTCATTCTGGCTATTGGATTGAAACAGACTATGGAGGAGAAAAGGGGGAAGTAACAGATCAGTTACAAGGGTGTCCCGGTAACTCAGGAAAGACCATGGAGTGACAGTGGTGATAGGAAGAAATAGTTGGATTCTGCACATTTTTTCTTATGGTAGAGCTTACAGGATTTGCTAACAGACTAGGCATCAGGCATGAGGGAGGTCACAGTCAAGGATGACTCCCACAGTCCTGGTCTGAGCATTTGGAAGAATGGAGCTGCTGTTAACTGAGGTATGGAGAGGCTGAGGGTATGTTTTTGGGGAAGATCAAAGTTCTGCTTTGGACATACAAAGTTTGAGGTGCTTATTAACATCAGGTCTTCTAGAGATACACATTTGGGAATATAATGTTATTTAAAGTCACGAGACTGAGGTCACTAGGTCAGTAAATGTAACTAGAAGGGAGCAGAAATCCATGGACTGTACCCCAGAGCATTCTACCATTAAGAGGGTGAGATGAGTAGGAACCAGCTAAAGAAACTGAGGAGGAAATCTGGTGTCTTGGAAGCCAAATGAAGCTATGTTCCAGGGAGCATCAGTTGTACCAAATGCAGCTGAAAGGTCTGTTAAGATAAGGACTGAATTGACTATTATATTTAACAATGAGAAGTCACTGGTGATTTTGTCCAATCTTTCTTATCATATGTTCTGGTTCTGGCATGATAACTCTGTCATGATAGCTGCTAATCTTGCTAGGGTCACCAAAGCAACTTTGTATGGAAAGTGATAGAATGAAAAATACTACAAGCCTTTGACTTTGGGGACTGTAGGATAGAATGAAGGAGGCTGAGAAACCCCTATTTGATTGACTCCAGACAGCTGATTTCATCCTTTCCATCTTTTCCTTTCTCAGTTTGGTTACTGGCTGTTGCTACCGCCTTCTGGAGAATCCCACCATTAGTCATCAGAAGAACCGCCCCACTCGGGAAGCTATAACACACCTGCTTGGGGTGGCCTTGACTCGTTACAACCATATGCTCAGTAAGTCATCCCCTACTTTGCCCACTGTCCCCTTATCCTTCTGCCATAATTCCTCATGGTTAGTACTCCACAGGTGCCACTGTGAAGATCATCCAGATGCTGCAGCACTTTGAACATCTGGCACCTGTACTGGTGGCAGCTGTGAGTCTGTGGGCAACAGATTATGGAATGAAGAGCATAGTGGGAGAGATTGTAAGGTGACTCTTCTTGAAGTTCCAATTCTCATTTTTATTGGGGAGGGGATAAAGAAAGGTTAGAAGTGTATTCTCTGTGCAACAATAGATTCCTTCAAGTATTAAATACCAGTCTTACCTTCTTCCCTTACTGGGAACTGATTAATTGAGCTATCTTGGCATGGCTGTGTTTTCTTCACTGTGTAGAGAAATTGGACAGAAATGTCCTCAAGAGCTGAGTCGGGACCCTTCAGGGGCAAAAAGCTTTGCAGCCTTCCTGACAGAACTAGCAGAACGAGTCCCAGCTGTCCTGATGTCCAGCATGTGCATTTTGCTAGATCATCTGGATGGAGAGGTAGGTAGTCCACTGGGGAATCGCAAGTTTTTCTAGGGGTTTTAAGTCCATTGTTGAAATATTGCCTTTTTTCCTTTTTCTTTTTTTAAAAAATGTGTTAGGGATGGAACCCAAGGGCCTTATACATGCTAAGCACATGCTTTGCAGCTCAGCTATGTCCTAAGCTGGAAAAATTGGGTTTGCGGGGGGGTGGGGTTCTGTTTTGTTTTGTTTGAGACAATGCCCTGTTATATAACCCAGGCTGGCCTCAAACTAACTCAGCGATCCTCCTGCTTCACCCTCCCAAGTTCTAGGATTACAGGCATGTACCAACGTGACTGGGTAAGGTTGTTTAATAGAATAAGAAAGTGGCTTTCATCCAGGCACTGGTGGCTCACACCTGTGAGCCTAGCTACTTGGTAGGCTGAGATCAGGAGGATTGTGGTTTGAGGCCAGCCTGGCAAATAGTTCACGAAATCCCATCTTTAAAAATAACCAGAGCAAGGGGCTGGTGGAGTAGCTCAAGTAGTAGAGTACCTGCCTAGCAAGTGTGAGGCCTTGAGTTCAAACCCCAGTACCTCCAAAAAAAAAAGTGAGCAAAAATAACTAGAGCAAAATGGACTGTAGATGTGGCCCAAGCTGTAGAGTGCCTGCTTTGGAAGCACGAAGCCCTGAGTTCAAACTCCAGTACCACCACCAAAAAAAAAAAAAAAAGTAGATTTCAGTCAGGTGTGGTGGCACACCTGTAATCCTAGCACTCAGGAGGCTGAGGCAGAAAGTAGCTTTCACATGAAGACAAGTTGACTAGGTTTATCACTGTGGCAGTTCCTTCCTGCAGAGAAGCAGATAACATTTACTGAGTAAAGGGCCTTTTATTGATCTTGCTTCAATATCACATTGGTTTTATCCAGGACTGATAAAGGAGATGACAGTTGTATAGCTTAAGTGTAGTGAGAGTGACTCAGCTTTGGTTCTGAGTCCCAGCCATTCCTCAGAGTGAAGACTCATACTGCCATCTGGCTTGCCTTGCTTTCTCTAAACAATGAGTCTTCTCAAATCAACCCATGTCACTTCTCAAATCTCTCATCCCTGGATGCTAACCTGGTTGCTTTCCAGATTGATCTTGGACATGCCTAGGTGAAAGTCAAGGTGAAAGGACAAAGTCAGTCCACTCAGTCATCTAATTTAAATTCTTGTGTAAGATTCTATTACCTGGCTCTTGGCCTGGCAAAAATCCCACATGCTGTTCTCTCCCAGATTTTGACTTACTTGGCACCTAAAGCTGATTTCTGCTTTTCTGTGTCTTACTTTTTGTCAGTAAATGGTAGGAAAGAGTGTGGGAAGGAAAGAGAATGTTTATTTGTAAGGATTGAAGGCTTTGAGACCTCATATGAAATAAATGTTTTTAAATGTGTATGTGGGTGGATAGACATGATTTCATATTCAAGTACAGGCTGAGTATTCCTAATCCTAATCTGAAACACTCTAAAATTTGAAACTTTTGAGGGTCAACATATCACAAGTAGAAAATTCCACACTATGAAATTTTGTTTCATGCACATAGTTATTAAAAATAACTTCAGACTATGTATATAAAGTATATCTGAAACATAAATGAATTTCATGTTTAGACTTGTGTCCCTCCCCAAGATATCTTATGTTTTTACAGATATTCCAAAATCTGAAAAAATCCAAAATGCATTTCAGATAAGGAATACTCAACCTGTACCACCATGCTACCTGGGTGAGCCTCATAAGGAGAAATTGGTTTTGGCTCTTATTATTTTTTCCATATGGTCTCAGCAAACATGTCCTCATTGGGATTCAGTGTTTTCCTCTGACTTTAGGAGTAAAATACCTAGACACTTGGCCAGAAAAGATATAGCTAAGCACAAGCAAGCTTAACATTTACAAAGTTAAATGGCTTTGTCTTACTTTCTGCCTAGACAGTCAGAAGAGTTTAAGGAAAGGAGAGTTGGAGAAGTACAGAGGTTCAAACCACCTTTGCTTCTCTCTTAGAATTACATGATGCGCAATGCTGTGCTAGCAGCCATGGCAGAGATGGTGCTGCAAGTTCTAAATGGCGATCAACTGGAAGAAGCAGCCCGAGAAACTAGAGACCAGTTCTTGGACACCTTGCAAGCTCATGGCCATGATGTTAACTCTTTTGTTCGAAGCCGCGTTTTGCAGCTCTTCACCAGAATCGTCCAGCAAAAGGTGAGCAGTTTTCTATGTGATAAGTGCATGTAGAACCTTTATAGATAGGCCAAAGTAAAGAAAATATCTGTAAAGGATGACAGAGGAGGTGAATTTAAGATATATTGTAAGCACTTTTGTAAATGTCACAATGTATCCCCAATTTTAATATACAATAATATAAAATTATATTAAAATTTAAAAAATAAAAATAAAATATTAGAGCCAAAAAAAGACAAGAAAATTTCTGTCCCAAAGAGAAATTCACAGATTTTACTACCAATAATTGGTACAATAATGTACCAATATTGTAATGTAGTTACAATAATAAAAGTCTTCCTCTGCTAAGGAAAGGATGCCTGGAATTAAGGAATATAATGTAGCTTATCTACTAGAAAGAGTACTGCTTATATATTTTTATAATCCCATAGAAAGGTTTCTTTAGAATGAGTTGGTAGCTTAGTTTAGAGTATATTTCAACGATCATCTTGAGCAGAATGGATGATGTGGGATATGAGCTGATCCTTCTCTTTCTATCTACCTAGGCCCTCCCCCTGACTCGTTTCCAAGCAGTAGTGGCTTTAGCAGTGGGACGTCTGGCAGACAAGTCAGTGCTAGTATGTAAAAACGCCATCCAGCTACTGGCCAGCTTTCTAGCCAATAATCCCTTCTCATGCAGGGTAAGTAGACTTGGTTGATCAAAAAAGAGAAGTAATGAAATGGAAGCAAGGATGCAATTATGTCACTTATTACCTGATATTCATTCTACCCTGATAGCTTAGTGACACTGACCTTGCTGGACCACTGCAGAAGGAGACCCAGAAATTACAAGAAATGAGGGCCCAGAGGCAAACTGCAGCTGCCTGTGAGTAGCTCCTGCCTAGGAGTCCTCACCCAGATAGCCTTCTCCCTATAGGGAGAAACTCTGTAAAAGAGACTAAGCAAGACTCTTATTCAGCCACAGCACTAGACCCAGAAGAGGAGTGGGAAGCCATGCAGCCAGAATTGACGTCTACTCTGCAGCAGCTTCTAAAGTTTCCCCAGGAAGAAGAGGTGATGCCTGAGCAAATTGCTAATACAGAGACCTCAGAAGAGGTGAAAGGACGCATCCATCAATTACTTGCCAAAGCTAATTACAAGTATGTGAAAGAAAGAAAGAAATGTTCACTAATGATCTGTGTGGGTTTAGAGACAACCATTGAGAAACTTAAAAATACATTGTACTTAAGTATGCTGCCATCAGATGATGATGGTAGGTATTTTCATTGTACTACCCTGGGTCTGACCAAAGGCATAGTACAAGCTGGACACTGGTGCCTCATGCCTGTAATCCTAGCTACTTGGGAGGCTAAGATGGGGAGGATCAAGATTCAAGGCCAGCCCCATTAAATACTTTGCAAGACCCTATCTCCAAAATAACCACAGCAAAATGGACAGGGGGAGTGGCTCAAGCAGTACAGCACTTGCTTTGCAAGCTCAAAGTGATAGAATTCTCCACTCATTTGTCTATTACCTTGCTTTTATCATTTAATTATGGATTAGTGATTTTTTAAAATATGTATAAATGGTTCCCCTACACCCCCACCCCTTTTTTGGTGCTAGGTATGGAATCAGGGCCTTGTGATGCCAAGTACCATGCCTCTTTTTTTTTTTTTTTTTTTTTTTTTGCTGACCTGGACAGTAGCCATTAACATATATTTAATATTAAATTTTTAAAATTAATGAAAAATTTAGTTTCAAAGGCAGGCATGCTGAGGAGAATTTTTTTTCCTTTATTCATTTATTTATATGTGCATACATTGTTTGGGCCATTTCTCCTCTCTGCTTCCCCACCCCCTCATTATTTTTTATAGTTATGTAGAATCCCATTATGTGGCAACCAGGTGTGATGGCACAAACGTAATCCCAGCACTTGGGAGGCTGAGACAGGAGGATTGTGAATTTGAGGCCAGCATGAGCTACAGGAGACCCTGTCTCAAAAAAGAAGAAGAAAAGCCTGGTGGTGTGGCTCAGTAGTAAAGTACCTACCTAGCAAACACAGGTCCTCAGTTCTGAGTTCAAACCCTAGTAATGCAAAAAAAAAAATTGATGAAAGAATCCCATTGGGGGAGTTGGCAAAGTGGCTCAAGTAGTAGCACACAAAGCCTCAAAAAAAAATCCCACTGCATGAATGTGCCATAAAGTAACAAATTATTGAAAGTTACTGTTTCCAAACATTTACTTAGCAAAGATTTTAAACATGTGTTTGGAGTAGGTTTGTGATTTTAACAAGTTTAGCAAGTTTTTTAAGACTGTAGTAGAAGCTTAGTGTTTTGGGCCCTGCCTCTTAGCAGGTGCTGTTTGACTTTTAAAGCATGAGCTGTGTTCCTTTTCTTCGGGGCACTGGTGGAATTATGAGGTGGGATCCCTTACAAAAGGCTGGAGCACACTCTTCTGGGTGCTAATTTGGTGACAGGCTGGTGTGCTTTCAGGCAGGCCATCACTCTTGCTCGAGAAGCTATGGGCCACTTCCAGGAGTCTGAACCCTTCAGTCTTACAGAACCAGAGGAGTCAGAGGAGAACAGGTTTCTGCATCTCCTAGGAATTATCTTCAAAGGTAATCCTTTCCCTTCAGTCAATAAACAAAACATTTCACCTAGTATTTATTTTGCAGATACTGGCCTGACTAACAGACCTGGGGTAGAAAGAGGCAGAGGGAAGTTGGCAGCGCGTCTGCTCTAGAATGGGAGCAGCCCAGGCACAGAGTGACTGCCAAACTGTAGATCTTTAGGATTCTTATTTGAGAAATGAACCAAAATATTTTAGAATAGGTTCTAACTTCATACTTCACATAGTAGAAAGAAATATCCAGGAATGTTGCTAGCTATAGAATCCCCCATGCACACCCGAACAAAAACTACTCTATACTTACTTCCCTAACTCCTAGACCCAGCAGCTTCCACACAGGGGTTGGATAGGAACATGGCCCCAGGACAGACTGTCTGCAAAGAAACCACCAGTGTGTCAGAGCCTGAGCGATCCAGGAAGACTGATGAGCTGGTGAAGCAGGAGATGCTGGTGCAGTACCTGCAGGATGCCTACAGCTTCTCACAGAAGATTACAGAGGCCATTGGCATCATCAGCAAGATGATGTATGAAAACACAACGACAGGTAGGTCAGGGTCTCATTCGGTAAGGACTGGGCTGTGGGGTCAGAGATACCTATCGGCTCCTGTAAAAGGCAGAGGCTGAGCTGGGTGCTCTTGACTCACACCTCTAATCCTAGCTACTTGTGAGGCTAACATTTGGAGGATTATGGTTTGAGTCCAGTCTGAGCAAACAGTTTGCAAGACCTCATCTCCAAAATAATCAGACCAAAAGGGACTGGAAGTGTGGCTCAGGTGGTAGAGCACTTACTTTGCAGTGCAAGCTATGAGTTCAAACCCCAGTTCCACCGAAAAATAATAAACAAAAATCTTTCTGTTGCCTTCTGTTTGCTTTATGTAGCCCCCTTATAACTTAGATATTTTAACACATCTAGTGTTGCATGGTACAACATTACAGGAGGAGTTGACATTGTCAGGGAAAAAGAAAAAGGCCTCTACTTGTGTGTTGCTATGTTAAGAAGGGGTATTTTGCCAGGTGGATTGGTACATTGTCTGTGTCTTCTCAGTGGTGCAGGAGGTGGTTGAGTTCTTTGCGATGGGATTCCAGTTTGGGGTGCCCCAGGCCCTGTTTGGGGTGCGCCGCATGCTGCCTCTCATCTGGTCTAAGGAGCCTGGTGTCAGAGAAGCTGTGCTTAACGCCTACCGCCAACTCTACCTCAATCCCAAAGGGGACTCTGCTAGGTATGTGAGGTTCTTCTATTTGCTGACTTTTTGAGGTCAGCTTCTCACAGGGTTTTTCTAGACTCCTAAAGAGGAGGGACATCCTTCCAAGTAACTTCTGAGGTCTATAACAGCTCAGATAGGCTCCAGTGAATCCTATCTAAGCAGCTGTTTGACTGTGTTGGGACAACCCTCATAACCAATTGCCAAGTTCACCTTCCCATTCTGTAATGACCACTGATCTCTGCTGTTCCCACAGAGCCAAGGCCCAGGCTTTGATTCAGAATCTCTCTTTGTTGCTAATGGATGCCTCAGTTGGAACCATTCAGTGTCTTGAGGAAATTGTAAGTTTACTCGCTTCATCTTTCTTTATTCATTCAGCAAGTATTAGCAAGTATTTACAGTGTGTTCAGCAATCTACTCAGCCTGACATTTGTTTTCACATTCCTGACTTTGAAAGAACCAGTAGCCTGTGTGATGACCAGAAACACAAAATGTTATTAGAAAAAGCAGCAAGTAGATAACCAAGTATACAGAGCAAGTGGCACAACAGTAACATAGCAGCAGCACTTTTGTGCCATTTCATATTGCTAGGCACAGTTCATGTCAGAGCACCTCACTCATATTAACCTGCTTAGTCCTCAACAACCCTGTGGAGTAGCATTTTACAATGAGAAATCTGTGAGGCTTAGGAAGAGGTAAAGGAACTTGGCTAGTTACAGGTAGTTAGTGACCCAGGCCATAAAAACTCCAAAAAATATATTCAGCTTCTATGCCATCCGGGGGAATACCAGGTGGGAAAGAGCCCTTTGAAGTAGCATGGCCAAGGAAAGCTCTATGAAGGCAGTAGGACTTAACATGGGGCTTAAAAGGTAAGGAGGCAGGAGTTTCAGACAAAACCCAAGAAAGTACACAGCTTCTGCTGTAGAATGAGAAAGTTTGTGTTCTGGCTCAAATTGTTATCTGTGAAAGATGAAGTTGGAAATGTAGGTGGAAACTAAGTTGTGAAGGTCCCTGTATGCCTTCAAGAGTTCAGCATTGGCCAGGCACAGTGGCACATGCCTGTAGCCAGCTACTCAGAAGGCAGAGATTGGAAGGATTGTGGTTTGAGGCCAGCCCAAGCAAAAAGTAGTAAGACCACATCTCAAGAAAAAAAAAAAAACTGAGCATGGTGGCTTCCATCTATAATCACATCTAGGTAGCAGGCACAAACACCACCAAAAAAAAAAAAGGACCCAAGAGTCCAGAATTGGCCAGATGTGGTGGCACACACAGCTATAGCTATAGGAAACAGAGATGGGGAGGATCATTAGTTCAATGCCAGTCCCAGCAAAAAGTTAGCAAGATCCCATCTTAACAAACAAGCCAGGCATGGTGGCACATGTCTGTGATCCTAGATGTGTGGGAGGATTAAGGTGGGTGAATCAGTCTGAGGCCAGCCCTAGGCAAAAATCTGAAAAATAACAAAATGAAGAAGGGTTGTGGTTGTGACCCAAGTAGTAGAGAAGCCCTGAGTTAAAACCCCAGTACCACACAAAAAAAAAATTAGTAGTCCAGGATTTTACCCTTGTTAGCCAGCAACCCCAGCATTTTAATGAGGTGACTCCCCTCTGGACATGTACACTATGGGGACATGGTGGTGGTGTTGACTGCGGGCTTCCCCTTGGAGGAGCACTGCTGCCCACTACACTGTGCATCTTACTGGGGAAAAGGAGAGAACCTTTTCCAACTGGCCCAAGATCTCCCAGAGTGGCTACTGTTAGGACACTGCTGTAGGCAGGCGTTGTTTAATCATCGATGAGCAGCAGGGGTATGACAGGTGAAAGCAAGTGTTCAGGAGAGGACCTGGCTGAGGAGAGCCACGGACAGGACAGGAAAGTTGCTGGAGGCTATAGAAGGTGTGCACTAACAAGAGCAAGACTCTAGTCTGGAGGAATAGCTGCCGAGTTGAACTTACTAGAAGACAAACTGGGAAAGAAAAATAGGTAGCTCTAAGTGGATGATTCATAAAAAGAAGCGTCTGAAATTTTATGCAAATTTAATTAAGAGGGTGTTGGTACTGTTAGCAAAATAAAAAGGCAAGGAAGGATGATGGCTTCCATTTTGGAAAGCTTGAGTTTGTGATCACAGCAGGAAAACTTACTAGAAATCTCCAGAATGTAATCAGAACTATAGATCCACATAGAATTTGAAACATTTAGGGTTTTTTTTTTATTTTGTTTTGTTGGTACTGAGGTTTGAACTCAGGGCCTCACACTTGCTATGTAGGTGCCCTGCCACTTGAGCCATTCTGCCAACCCTGTTTTGTGTTGGGTATTTTCGAGGGTCTCATGAACTATTTACCCGGACAGCTTCAAACCATGATCCTCCTGATCTCTGCCTCCTGAGTAGCTAGAATTACAGGTGTGAGCCATCAGCACCTGGCTAATAAGTGTAGTTTTGAGGCAGGAAATAGAAAAGCAGAGAATGGAGTGGGAAGTACCTCGCCAAGCCTCTGCTTTACATGGTGAGCTTCCTTCTTCTTTCTTCATTCTGATGTGCTGCCTTTACCCACTCATGTTCTCAATCTTGTTTTTAAATAAGTGGACCAAAAGGAATGGTTGGTTTATGGCTTGAGCCCTATTTCTTTCTCCTCAGATCTGTGAGTTTGTGCAGAAGGATGAGTTGAAACCATCAGTGACTCATCTACTGTGGGAGCAAGTCACCGAGAAGGTCCCCTGCTCTCCTCTGGAGCGCTGTTCGTCTGTCATGCTTCTTGGCATGATGGCACGGTGAGGCTCAGATCTAACAGGCAGTAGGGTGGAAGAAGAAAGGAAAGTTGAGAAGATTCCTCTTTTATAGTAGTCACAATCAAGCCCAGCTGGGCTCTGCTGGTAGCTGACTGCCTAAATGAAGAGTACCAGCTCCCTGCCCAGCAGAAATGGATTCACTAGAAAAAGAGGGATCTGAGGGGCTGGCCCTGGGTCAGAGCCTGGCTGTAGTGTTCTAGGACTGTAGACACCCCATGTTGGGTACCGGCCTTATCCCCCACAGAATCCTGTCCAGGACTGCCTTTAACTCTATGGCTTCCTTCCCCTAGAGGAAAACCAGAAATTGTGGGAAGCAACTTAGACATGCTGGTGAGCGTAGGATTGGCTGAGAAGGTTCCACAGGACTACAGGCTGGCCCAACAGGTGTGCTGTGCCATTGCCAACATCTCGGACAGGAGAAAGGTATGTGGTGGTTACAACCAAACTGCGAGAGTGGAGATCCTTCTATCCGCCCTCCACACACTTGCATTCTGTCTTGTTCTCTACAGCCTTCTCTGGGCAAACGACACCCTCCCTTCAGGCTGCCTCAGGAGCACAGGTTGTTTGAGCGACTTCAGGAGTTGGTAACAAAAGGTGAGCTTTCCAAAAGGCCCTTGGACAGAACTGGGCCCTTTGCCTGCAGTGAATAATTTCTCCCTTCTCCTATATAGGCTTTGCCCACCCAGACCCACTCTGGATTCCATTCAAAGAAGTGGCAGTGACCCTCACCTACCAAATGGCAGAGGGCCCAGAGGTGATCTGTGCCCAGATGTTGCAGGGCTGTGCAAAGCAGGCCCTGGAGAAGCTAGAAGAAAAAAACACCAGCCAGGAGGACCCCAGTAAGTGGCAGAGGGGTGATGGGCTGAGGGCAGATAGAGGGGAGGGCACCAGCTTCTGCTATCTTCCCTGCAGGGACAGAAGGTAGTCACCAGCATCTTCTGCTTCCCCTCAGCCCACACTGCCTATTTCAGTCCAAGTTGAAGTTGGACTAGTTAGCACCACCATCCCCGTCACCATGTCTTATTCCTTCACTATTCTGAGTAGCACACAAGCAAGAGGACGATCAGTAAGCTTGTGGGACTTGACTTTGTCTCTTCTCCCTGCCTTCCCTCTCCTGCAGAGGAGACTATTCCAGTGCTCCCAACCTTCCTGCTGATGAACCTGTTGTCACTGGCTGGGGATGTGGCCTTGCAGCAGCTTGTACATTTGGAACAGGCAGTGAGTGGAGAGCTCTGTCGGCGCCGAGTTCTGCAGGAAGAACAGGAGCACAAGACTAAGGACCCCAAGGAAAAGGTGACTGGGGCGTCTGAGCAAGGGGTTTATGCCCTGAGCATTTCCTAAATTTGTCTCATGACCTTAGGTCAGAACATTTCCTGCTTCTCTGCTATTAAGTGAAGAACCTGCCTTTTTGTTGCTATTCCCCCTAGGTAAGATTATTGTCAACAGACATGTAACAGTCTGCCCATGCTCACCCAGGAAGGAGTTTTAGGTAAATATAGACTGCACCTCAGTGTAAAATACAGGCTGTGTTTCTCCCATCAGCCTTTGCTACTGGCCTGGCACCTAAATGGGACCTTGTGTCCTCTATACTGGAGGAATTTGTGTCGGCAGAAAAGTAAGACAGAGTCTTGGAGCAGTGGGGGTAGTCTAATGTCTGTGACCTTGACCCACTGTCTAGTGTGAGCTGTTGGTTTACATATATATTAAATTATATCATCTGTGAGGATGAATTAATAAGAGGTGTAGAAACCTGCCTTTAGCAACTTTAAAACAAATAACAGGGGACCAAGTTATTTACAGTTAACAGGAATTCTTTCTCTTTTCAGCCACCTTTGGCAATTCTGTGGATGGTTTTGTAGACTTTGTCATTCTTCAAATCTGTTCATGCAAAATGGTGTTAAAATAAAATCAGAAATGTCTCTGATCACTCTAGAATACAAGCTCTGAGACCACCATGGAGGAGGAGCTGGGGCTGGTTGGGGGTGCCACTGCTGATGACACAGAGGCAGAACTAATCCGAAATATCTGCGAGATGGAACTGCTGGATGGTAAGAAAAATTGCTGTGTGACCACTCCACTTGAGATAGCCTATCCCCAACCTAGAGTTGTTCTTCCAATAGGCAAACAGGTACTGGCTGCTTTTGTTCCACTTCTGCTTAAAGTCTGCAACAACCCTGGCCTCTACAGCAACCCAGACCTCTCTGCAGCTGCTTCGCTTGCCCTTGGCAAGTTCTGCATGATCAGGTAAGTAAGCCCAGAGTTAGTACTGCCTCAAGAAGGATGGAAAATGTGGCTTTCCTGTTTCTCTAATGATTCTCTTCTTGCCCCTAGCTCGACTTTCTGTGACTCTCAGCTTCGTCTTCTGTTCACCATGCTGGAAAAGTCTTCCCTCCCCATAGTCCGGTCTAACCTCATGGTTGCCACTGGGGATCTGGCCATCCGCTTCCCCAACTTGGTGGACCCCTGGACACCTCATCTGTATGCTCGGTAAGAGATCCATCCTTCGCAATACTTCAGACTCACTGAGAGCTCCTGGGGTCTGTCATGGCAGTATGATGGTCACGAAGACTTCCCCTAGTCTGAGGCATTACCTTCAGCATCTGCTAGACACTTGCTTTGACAGGCTCCAGGCTAAATGGACCCTGTGGGAATTGAAGCTTCTGTCTTCTTGTCTTTTCCCCTAACTCTTGCTTCCTACTCTAGACAGTGTTCTAGCTGCTTCTTGAATGACATACTTGGAATAATAGAGCGGGCATTTCCTAGCAATTTTTGGGTGTAGCCCAGAGGTCCCAGTGACTTGAGATTTCCTTCCTAGTCTACGGGACCCAGCTCAGCAAGTACGGAAGACAGCTGGCCTGGTGATGACGCATCTGATCTTGAAGGACATGGTGAAGGTGAAGGGGCAGGTGAGCGAGATGGCTGTGCTACTCATCGACCCTGTGCCTCAGATTGCCGCCCTGGCCAAGAACTTCTTCAATGAGCTCTCCCACAAGGTGAGCCACAGGCAGCTTGGGGCTTGGTGCCAAGGAAGTATGTAGGTCATGCCATCTAAAGATTCTTTCTCTCGTGCAGGGCAATGCAATCTACAATCTCCTTCCCGATATCATCAGCCGCCTGGCAGACCCTGAGGGCGGGGTGGAGGAGGAGCCTTTCCACACCATCATGAAGTACAGCTGCCTGGGCCTCAGGGCACAGTCTCCCTATAGCATATCTGGGGCACTTAGGAATTGAATTCCAGATCTGCTTTATTTCACTTATTTACTTAGGATGCTGGGCATGAAACCAGGGCTTCAGGCATGCTAAACAAGTGCTCTACCATTGTCTCCAGCCCCAGTGCTTTTTAGCTGTATAGCCTTCAATAACTTGACACCTCTGTCCCTGTTTCCTCCTCCATAAAAGGTTTATACTACTTACTCAAAGTTCTTGAGATTAGGAAATAAGATACCCACCACAGTGGTAGACACATACTCGTGCTCACAAGTAACAGTTGTTCTTGGCAATGTTCATTTGCAGTGAAAATTACTAGCGAGGGGCTTCTCTGGTTTCTGGAAGAGGCAAGAGGAGCAGTGAGGCTGGTGGGGGGAGGGGCATGGACGTTCTAGTAAGGACAGATTAGGTGGTACCAGCAGAGGGCCCAGGTAGGTCCTAGTGGGTGAGGATGGAATTGCCCAGGCCGATCACAAAGCCTCCCTCCCCTCCCGGCAGGCAGCTCCTCTCCTATATCACAAAGGACAAGCAGACTGAGAGCTTGGTGGAGAAGCTGTGTCAGCGCTTCCGAACAGCCCGGTACACTGCCTTCCCTGAGAGACTTTGGGCTCAGAAAGGGACCCTGTGTGGGAAAAGAGACCCCAGTGGCATCCCTGGGACCAGGGGCCGCCAATGGGTAGGATGAGCTTTGAACTGCTCCTCACAATGCTCCTTTCACCTGTAGAGCTGAGCGGCAGTACAGGGACCTGGCCTACTGTGTGTCACAGCTGCCCCTCACAGAGCGAGGCCTCCGTAAGATGCTCGACAGTTTCAACTGCTTTGGAGATAAACTGTCCGATCAATCTGTCTTCAGTGCTTTCTTATCTGTTGTGGGCAAGCTGCGGCGTGGGGCCAAGCCCGAGGGCAAGGTGAGTGGCATGGGGACACTGGCCTTGCTGGCCTCTAGTACTGGTTACATGGTCTGTTCTCCTAAGCAGTGTTCCAAGGCTCTTGTAAGCCATGTTCCTCCCTTGTTCCTAGCTTGACTACAACCAAGTAACCAGTGACATGAGACCAGATCCTTCTGTCTCCAATTCCTGTTTCCTTTTTTAAATAGGCTTTTTTAGAGCAGTTTTAGGCAAAACTGAATGATAAATACAGAGTTCCTGTGTAACCCACATATCCCCCCCACATAACCTCCCACCATCAGCTTCCTGGTACAGAGTGGTCCTTTGTTAACAGTCTACATGGACCTGAAGGAAGGAATGACTGACAGATCATAGCACTCTAAGTCCACACTTTTCTTTAGTGTTCACTACATAAAAATGACACTCACCCATCATTACAGTATCACAGAACAGTTTCACTGCCTAAATAGCTGTGGTCCACCTATTCTGCCTCGCCTCCCCCTCATCCCCTGGCAAGCACTGACCTTTTTACTCCCTCCAGATTTGCCTTTTCCAGAACATCATATAGTTGGCCTTTTGTTGTTGTTGTTATTATTGTTGTTGTTGTTGTTTGGTGGCGCTGGGGTTTGAACTCAGGGCCTCATGCTTGCTAGGCAGGCACTCTATCACTCCAGCCACTCTATATTTTGTAGAGCTTTTTTTTTTTATATCGGGATCAAATCCATGGCCTTGCACATGCCCAACCATTGCTCTACCACTGAGCTACATCCCCAGCCCCAGAATATCACAGAGTTGGAATTGAATAGTATGTAGCCCTTTCATATTGGCGTCTTTCACTTAGCAGTAGACATTTAAGGTTCTTCATATCTTTCATGGCCCTGTTTCTTTTTCTTTTTTTTATTATGGTGGGACTGGGTTTGAATTCAGGGCCTCACACTTGCTAGGCAAGGGCTCTACCACTTGAGCCACTCCTGTTTTTTTGTGTTGGATATTTAGGGTCTCACAAACTATTTGCCCAGGTTGGCTTCGAACCACCATCCTCCTAAGCAGCTAGAATTACTGGCATGAACCACCTCCGCCTGGTGGCCCTGTTTCTTTTTAACCAGAGAAATAACCATATGCCCACCAGGCCTATTCTTAAATCTCCTTTTTTCCCCTCCAGGCTGTCATAGACGAATTTGAGCAGAAACTTCGGGCCTGTCACACCAGAGGGCTGGATGGAATAGAGGAGCTTGAGATCAACCAAGGAGGTAGCCAGCGAGCCCCATCAGCCAGGAAACAATCCACTGGTATGAGAGGCAGCCCCCAGGTAGTGAGCCCAGACTGGGCCCTCCCCACAAGCAACAGCCAGCTTTTCTTTTTGTTTAAAAAGCCTGTTTCTTTGCCTTTTCTAGTCTCCAGGCTGCAGCCTCTGGCTTCTGCAGCCTCAGACAATGACTTTGTCACACCTGAGCCTCGCCATTCTACTCGTCGGCTTCTGAACACTCAGCAGCGCACTTCCAAGAAGAAACCCAGAATTGTCTTCTCAAGCGATGAGTCCAGTGAGGAAGGTAATGATGCTCCCTCCAGGACAGCTGTGTTTGGTGGGGTCCTGCCATGTAGCCTGATTGGGTATAGATTTCTCTGCCTTCCTCCCTGTGCAGCTTGGGTTTATGTCTTCAGTATTGTCTGGAACTGTCATTTGTTCTCTGAGATGTTTTGCACCATCTTTATGATTCAGCTTTTCTTATCACTACAATTCTTTAAATAGAGCTTTCAGCAGAGATGACAGAAGATGAGACACCCAAGAAAACTACCCCCATCCGCAGAGCATCTCGAAGGCCCAGGTCTTAGTAGGTGGCGCAGGTCCTCAGAGGAGGTCGTCTTGCCTATTCCCCTCCCTGCTGTGCAGGCTACCTTGTGGAATGATCTTGAATTCCAGTCCTATTCCCTTGTAAAATGTGTATTTGTCTCCTTGTTTTTTAATATGTACGTGACCTTAAATTGCAAGGCACTTCTTAAACCAACATATCTGAATGGAGTTGAGCTGCTTTCACTTTGTTTGTCAGTCCCCTTGTTTTCTAGCCAATAAATGTTTTTATAGACTTTTAAGCATTCTGTCCTAAGTGTATCTCTGTTTCCTATTCCATGTTAGCCCAGGCGCAGGCAGCAGACAGGGTTATCAACCCAGAGAAAAAAGGAGCCCAGGAGTCCTGAAGTCCCCACATCTCACATGAGCGTCCTGCCCTTCACTACATCTTGTACAAGTGACAAGATGGCCCACTGTGGAAAACTATGCAGTCTCTTGTCTGCATCAGGGGTTCTCAACCTAGGCATGACTTTGCACCCCCCGCAGAAGACATTTGACAATGTCTGGAGATGTTTTTTGTGCCTGGGAGGCAGGGGGATGCTACCAGCATCCAATGAGTGAAAGCCAGAGAAGGATGTTGCTCATTGTCCTCCATGCACAGGACAGCCCCATGACACAAGTATTTGACCCAAAATGTCAACAGTGCTGAAGTTGAGAAATCCTGCTCTAGACCAAGGGTTGTTTCCTCCTGTGCCCTACCCCACCCCCACCCCCACCTGTGTTCCCTACTTCCATCACTGAAGACTGGCAACTGACCTGGCCTGGCTGGTGAAAGGGCAAGTCACCATTCCCTCAAGGTCTGCCTACCAGGCCTCCTTATGCCTTGCACTGGCCTAGAAGCCTGGACCCCCTCCCCAGGTCTTCCGCCTGCTGAGTCACCTAAACAGGAGGCAGCTAGCCTGCCATCATAACCACATTCTGTTGTCATGACAACAGCACACTGCATCAGATGTGCTCCCAGCCTCTTTTCTGGGGGGGCGGAGGGTGCAAAGGACAGCAATAACAAATGACAAACCTAAGGAAAAAGGGAAGAGGGTACCTCAGAATCAATCTGGGTTAGGGCAGGAGTAAGGAGGGCTCTAAAGGACCTTAGCAGGGAAAAGGTTAACGCTCTTGGCTGAGCCCTTGCAGGAGGGGAGCAGGAAAGAATGCTGACTCCCCAGCACCCCTCACCATCCTGGGGCCCCACTTGGCTTGCTCCCACTGCTCAGGAAAAGCCCAGGCACCAACCAGCTGCCAGACATGGAACCAGTGGTGTCCAAGTTGGAAGGGCAAGCCCAGAAAGGCAAGAGACTGGGTGCGGTGCAGCACTGCAGGTTCCTTGCCAAGCTTTTAAGCAAAGGTTATCACCAGGCCGGCTAAACTTAGCCACAGGCTTTCCAGCTAGAAGGGCAGGGGGCTGGTCTCAGGTTACGCTGGCCCAGCAAAAGGGCCTCAGGATCCCCCTGCCCTGCCCTGCACTGATGGCCAGTGCCCACCCACCTCCACCCTTTCCAAGCCCTCATTCCTTTCAGGAGTTCAGAACCCAGTCTTTCTTCATGCTGGCCCATGCTCTCTACCCCTCTAGGAGGGAAAGGGCCTTTCCCTGCCCTCCTGTGTGTGGAAAGGGACTGGGGACCTGTGGCCATGGCCTCCCACTTTTCCCTTCTTCTGGACTCACCCTCCCCCAACATGCCGCAGGATAGCCAGGAAAGGGGCGTCCCTGGGCCTTGGTCCTGGCCGCACGTCCCAGAATGGGGAGGGACTTCCGCTCTCACGTCCCGCTCTCCACCCTGGGCTGCAATGGGTGAAAGGAGCTCTGTCTTCCAGCCTGGGCGGCGCAGCCCTTAGGTTCCCAGGAGCGGCTCTGCCCAGCCCTCAGCAGCGATGCTGTCCTTCCCTGGGGCCCCCCTCGCCGTCCAGGGGAGCAGCTGGTGCACACAGGGACTGGCTTGTCTGTCCCAATTATCAGGTCTACAGGCTGCCCAGGCTGCAGGACAATCGCGACCTTCTGTCCCGCGCAGGAACCTCCCCCTCAGGCCTCCTCCCTTGCCTCCATCTCCAGGCCCCCATTGCCCAGTGTCCAGCCCAGGTCCCCAGCCTCGGCCTCCAGCCAGGAGGTGGGGGCTGGGAAGGGCCCCCGCAGGAGGCAGAGGCGCCCCACCTGGGCCTTTTCTTCAGATGTTCCCGTGTCACTACCGAAGAGCCTCGAGGAGGAGAACCTCAACTTTCCCTCCTTGCAGTCTTTGAAAGAAAAGGGAGCGGGATGGCCGCGTGCAACCGCGAACCGCCCCAGGCTCCAGCATCAATCTCCCACCCCAACAGCCCCCAGGGACCTCCCGTTTCATCCGTGCAACATCTTTAACATCCCTGGGTCTTAGATGTCATCGATGCGCACCAAGGATAACGTCCTCTGCATCCCTTCATTCCTGTCCTGGGAATCATCAGTGGCCACCTCTCCAGCGGGCCAATCTCAGTCCCCTCCCCCTCTCCGTCCCCAGTCCACACGCTTGGTGCGTGCACATTTCAAGAACGAGGCTGGTGCAAAAAAAAAAAAAAAGCGCTACAGAGGCCCGGCTACTCGCGGCTTTACGGGCGCACGTAGCTCAGGCCTCAGAGCCCTTGGGCTGCGACTGGACGAGCGAGGCGGGAGGCGGGGACCGCGTCACTCACCCCGGTTCCTATAAATGGAGCCAGCAGCCACCTCCGGTGCTCTCTGCTCCTCCCCGTTCGACAGATAGCCGCATCTTCTCTTGCTGTGCCAGGTGAAAACGTAAAGGACGCCACCAGCTCTCGGGGCAATCGGACACGGAGCGGGAGAGGAGGGGCAGACGGGCACGGCCGGGTCTGGCGGCGCTGGTGCGGGGTCGCGCGGGCCGGGGATCCGCAATGCGGGCCAGGAGGGGACGTGATGCGGCGCGCGGTGGGAATGGAGGCCCGAGGAGGAGCGGGGGGGAGGGAACAGCGGCCGCGCCCGGGGTCCCTCGGGCCGCACTGATGCTCACCTTCCTCTTCCCGCAGCCAGTCCCTGAGACACGATGGTGAAGGTCGGAGTGAACGGGTGAGTAAGAGGCCGGGCTAGGGTGGGGCCCCGGCCGCCACCGAATTGCGTCTGTAGGTCAGGCCTGCCCGGGGACTCTGCAGTCGCGTGGGGAGGTGGGTGGGGTGGTGGCACCCTGCAAGGAGACCTCAAGGTCAGCAGCGCCCGGACCTGGCTAAGGCGTCCGCAGGGCCTCGTGCCCTGTTCCCCAGCTGTTGCGCCTCATGTAACTGGCCGCCAGGAGTCTGCAGACAAATAGTCCCCCATTCTCGCTCGTGATCCATCCCTTAATCCCTTGGCTGCGGCTTCTTTCTTTTCGCGCCCTGTGGGGTCACGTGTCATTAGGGGCGCCCCCTCCTCCCGCCCCTTTCCTCCTCCCGGGTGCACAGGGATGCGAGATGCAGGGCTTGGTGCATCATGAGCTGAGGGTTGTCCCTTGCGGTAACCGGCCGCCATGTTGCAACGGGGAAGGAAATGAATGAACCCCCGTTAGGAAACCTTGCTTCGCCCTTCTGTCTTCCTCCTTCCTAGCCTGTGACTAACCCTCCCGCTCCTCCTTCAGCGGGGTGGAGTGTCCTTTATCCGGTAAACCAAGTGAAGCAAGGCTTTTGCCACTCGTGCTCTACAAAGAGCTGGACCTCAAAATCTAGCCTTCAAGCCCAGTTTCCCTTCAAGATGCTTTTTCTAGATAGTTCTTGATGAATCTAAGAAGTGAATTTATGGGGAGGGTCCTTTTGTGTATCACCCCCCCACATCCCCCAAACCCATACCTCCAGAGGTGTGGTAGCTCTGGCTTAGTGCCAAATCTGGGAAGCTGAGTCATAGTGGTTAGAAAAGAAATTTCCACCACAAAATGGCTCTAGTGGTAGCAGCCCCTTCGCTGACTGGATCACCTAGCTCTTCCCATGGCAGCCTAGCACTGACCCAAACCCTATAGGTCAGGCTGTAAAGGTCACTGGAGGATTAGGTGTCTGAGCCTCACAATCCTACCCTTCTCCCCATTCCATCTTCCAGAAACCAGATCTCCCCACTCCACTCTAATCTGAGGTTAAATTTAGCTTCCTGACCTTTCTGCTGCTGGGGACCTGGGCTTTTGCTTTCCTCTACCCCCTTCCTCCCGCTCACATCTGTTGCTCCCACTCATGATTTTTAGCTAGGAAGGGCAGGTAGTTTAGCAAATTAAGGATCCTGGAATGAAGGGGTTGAAAACCAACTGGTTTTGTCAGTCCCTTTCCCTTTTAAGGGATGGACTGACCCTGTCCAGTGAATTCTGACCTTTGTGCCTGCCCTTTGAGTTTGGTGATGCTGAGTGCACAAGTCTTCGCCATCCATGGGGGTGTGGCCTGAGTTGGGCCAGGCAGAAACAAGCCTTCCCAGAGCATGGGTAGTGGGGTTGATGAATGCCATGTGTCAGGCTTGTGCCCAGACTGGGTGGCAATGTGCCCCACATCGCCACTTCTTGCAGGACTTGAGATGACTGGGGGTTGGGCAAGTCTTTGGACCTAATCACCTCTTGGACAGGAAAGGAGCCTCCACTTTAAGGCTCTGCTGTAAAGCCAGACCAGCCTGGCAGGATTGCTCAAGGAAGATCAAATTAGATCTCTTGGGATTTTCCGGGGGGTTGGGGGGGTTGGAGGTGGAGATTAGCCCACCATACAAAGAATTCCAGAATGTTCCAAAAAACAGAACTTGAATTTCCTGCCCACATAAATGAAATGGGTTGGCATCATTTAGGTTTCATAAGCAATCTGGGGATGATATAGGGTATACAGGAGGGTATGTGTGGATTACACACAATATGATGCTATTTTATATAAGGGTCTTGGGCATCCACTGATTTGAGATACCAAGAGCATCTGTACTCTTTGGAGGAAGGGTGAGTGAGCCCAGAGCTGCTTACATACCTGTTCTGTACTCCCTCCTTACATTTTTCTCTCATCTAGATTTGGTCGAATTGGGCGCCTGGTCACCAGGGCTGCTTTCAACTCTGGCAAAGTGGATATTGTTGCCATCAATGACCCATTCATTGACCTCAACTACATGGTGAGAGCTGCCCCTACAGGTGGTGGGAGGCACAGCCTGCTGAAGGCAGCGCCATGACACCTTGCTTGTTTCCCAGGTCTACATGTTCCAATATGATTCCACCCATGGCAAGTTCAATGGCACAGTGAAGGCTGAGAACGGGAAGCTTGTCATCAATGGGAAGGCCATCTCCATCTTCCAGGAGTAAGTGGAAGGAGGATGGGAAACTTGCTTTGGGGAGATGGGGTGCCCATCTCTGTTAAATGGCACCTCACATCCTTGAACACTTTTCTGTTCCTCTCTTAGGCGAGATCCCGCCAACATCAAATGGGGTGATGCTGGTGCTGAGTACGTCGTGGAATCCACTGGAGTCTTCACTACCATGGAGAAGGCTGGGGTAAGGGGCCGGAAGGCTGAAGATGGGGGCAATTTGCCCCTGGGATTTGGTGCAGCCTAAAATATGAGGGGGTGATATGGTAGCCAGGAAGACAGCCTGGGTGTGTAACCCATTTCTCCTGCACAGGCTCACTTGAAGGGTGGAGCCAAAAGGGTCATAATCTCTGCCCCTTCTGCTGATGCCCCCATGTTTGTGATGGGTGTGAACCATGAGAAGTACGACAACTCCCTGAAGATCGTCAGGTGAGACCAATGGAGGGCTGTGAAGTTGGGTGGGCGGAGCTGAATGTTGCAAGGTAGAAGAGTCCCTCAGACTTGCTTCCCTCTCTTCAGCAATGCCTCCTGCACCACCAACTGCTTAGCACCCCTGGCCAAGGTCATCCATGACAACTTTGGCATCGTGGAAGGACTCATGGTATGTGAATGATGGGAAATGGAACATCATTCATTCATTGTTCACCCAGGATTGCATCCTTCTCTCCTTTGACCTCCCTGGGTTGGGGGTCATAAGGGGTGCTGTGGTGGGTTCCCTGCAGTGCCTCACTCCCTGTTCCTTGCTTTTTAGACCACAGTCCATGCCATCACTGCCACCCAGAAGACTGTAGATGGCCCCTCTGGTAAACTGTGGCGCGATGGCCGTGGGGCTGCCCAAAACATCATCCCTGCCTCCACTGGCGCTGCCAAGGCTGTGGGCAAGGTCATCCCGGAGCTAAATGGGTGAGGCTTTGCTGCTGGGGAAGCGGGGAAAGCTGGTAGAGGCCAGGAACAACTGGGACTGACATGACAGTCTCCTGTCTACAGGAAGCTCACTGGCATGGCCTTCCGTGTACCCACCCCCAATGTTTCAGTGGTGGATCTGACCTGCCGCCTGGAGAAAGCAGTATGTCTGGGTTGGTGGACTATGGGTTTGTCTCTGGTGTAATGATGGTGAGGCTGGAGTGTGAATATCTATCTTGGTTTTGCCTTCCTAGGCCAAATATGATGACATCAAGAAGGTGGTGAAGCAGGCATCGGAAGGCCCCCTAAAGGGCATCCTGGGCTACACCGAGGACCAGGTACCTATAGAACTGGGAGTCTGGTGTTCTTGCAGCCCTACTGAACAGAGCTGGGTTCCCATACTTAGTCCTGTCCCTTCTCCAGGTTGTCTCCTGCGATTTCAACAGTGACACCCACTCTTCCACCTTTGATGCTGGGGCTGGCATTGCCCTCAATGATCACTTTGTCAAGCTCATTTCTTGGTATGTGGTTGTGGGGGGAGTTGTGTGCCAAGGCTTTTAAAGAAGTACTGAGGGTCTGGTGCCCTCTGGTGGATGGCTCAGGGAAACAGCACTTAACCCTCTTGATCATCCCTAGGTATGACAACGAATTTGGCTACAGCAACAGGGTGGTGGATCTTATGGTCCACATGGCATCTAAGGAGTAAGAGCCCCTGGACCACCCACCCCAGCAAGAACTCTAGAGGAAGAGAGAGGCCCTCAGCTGCTGGGGAGTCCCTGCCCCCACTAAGTCCCCCAACACACTGAGAATCTCCCCTCCTCACAGTTTCCATCCCAGACCCCCTGAAGAAGGGGAGGAGCTTACAGCCCTACTTCCATCAGTACCATCAATAAAGTTCACTGCACCCAGCCACCTCTTGTTCTGTTTTTGTTCATTTTCTGGTGTTGGGGATTGAGCCCAGGACTTAAGACATGCTAGGCAAGCACTGTAGCACTCGCTATGCCAAGCCTGTTTATCCTATAGCCGAGGGGAGAGAAGCTGGCATACAGGGTTAGAGCACCTTCCTCACAGAGGTATATCTGCCCTGCCCTTGGAGCCTCTGGTTGCTACAGAAAGCCAGTGCCACCACTGCGTGAGATTTCTCACTACAGGGAGAACTTTCACCTGGCTCCCCTATCAGAAAACTGCTGTCTGGCAGGTCAGGAGGGTGACACTGAAACAGGAAGTTGGGGCTTTGGCACATGGCTGTATGGCCTTGACTGGTTGCCCAACTTCACAGTGTATTACTGAGTGTGCATTTGTAGCTCTGTAGGTTTTTTGTTTGGAGGCACAGCCTCTGCTTCCCACGTGCTGAGGTTGCAGGATGCACCACCAGCCTGCCTTGGCTGTAGAAGTTATTTACCTTTGTGATGTGTATCTGCAAAATAAGGCTATGACAGGGCTCAGCTCCTAAGGTCATTAGATTAAATCCAGCAAAACTAGGCATGTAAAAGCATACCCAGTGTAGTAATGACAAGATGAAAATTCCGGTAAGGATGAAAGCTGGATGGGGATGTGTTGGGATTTGTATCCTTAGGTAAGACGCAACAGGCCCGGCTTGCAGCTGGGGAGCTGGGCCCAGACCCTGCTCTGCAAGTTGGAGGCTGCTGGGCAAGTTACCTGTGACCCACACTACATGTGTGCATTTGTTAGATGGAGGTGACAGAAACAGTACCACATTCTTCAGTTAGGATTCTAGGGTGAACATCAGTGCTTAAAACAGTGACACAGAAGTGCTCAATAAATACTTGCTGCTTCTTATTATTAAAGATTCCATTGAAATGTCAGCATAGTCCCCTATACCGAGGTATTCTGAATTGCATCTCCCCGCTTTCTCCAAGCTTTTCCAAGCCAGGGACATCTTAGCCTGTTGGCTTTATGAATGATGGATGGAGGAGGCACATCTTCAGCTGAAGCTTGAAGAAACAAAGACTCTGAGCACACCTGCACGCCCATGCCCCCCACACACAGCAGCTTCTTTTTCTGTCATTCAGCCGCTGACTAGGAGACAAGAGCTTCTTCCCTTTAAGATGGAGGTCCCTTTAATGTGTGGCACTTATCTGAAGGAAGGGTTGCAGCCACATACACTGTAGTCAGCAGGTAGGCAGCAGGGAGCACATGGACAGCCCAACAGAGCGCCCTGGGCAGTCCTCCTTTCCCATGCTGGAGGGAAGCCCCCTCCAGTTGTGTGTGTTGCACAAGACACTAGAAAACGCCAGCTGAATCCACTTCATACCAGTTCCTGGGCCAGTTAGCACCAGCTCAGAATTAAAGACAGTAAGTGGGCTATAGTCCCCAGGGGCGGAGGGCAGTTCCCACATTCACGTTTCTTACACAGTGGAGAAGTGAGGGGCCACAAGCACTCTGGCAGCATCCCAAAGATGGAGAAGTAGCAGACACCCGCATGTGAAGGCAGGAGAGCCCCAACTGTGCTGGGAGTTGCCTGGAAAGAATAGGCCCAAACCTAGCTCCACACACTACAGAGACCTGGGGAGGTCAAGGACCGAGGGAGAAAGCCCAAGAGAGGAGTCCCAGGCCCCAGAGCCAGCCATGGTGCAGTGGTATAAATGACATGCCCTCTGCAAGCCCCGCCTTGCCTCAGTGAGCTCCCAGCAGGGAGGGATGCAGGAGGCCCAGGAGGAGTTGGGCCCTATCTCATGGAGTTGTCAGATGAGGCATCCCGATCAGAGTCCTCAGTCTCGCTCTGCGGCGGCGGGTCGCTAAGCGGGACCGCAGTGAAAGCAGGAGACTTTCTAGAAGAAAACACCAGTTGTCACTTTGGGGCAGGCAGAAAGCCTGATGAGGCGGGTGTGCCTCTTCCTGGGGCCTTATTCTCTGGCAGATGGGTACATTAACATGAGAGAGCAGGGGACCACCAGGGTGGGGGGTGCAGGGAAAGGAAGATGGGGAGGATTCTTTCTTCCCACACAACTTGATGGGGGGAAATGGTCTCTGTGTTTATCTTGGGGACTCTGGGAGGCTTAGAGGTCAGAAGTGTCTGAAATTACAGCATGAGAGATGTCACCTGAATCTAATTATACTGACACTAGGACTGCTGGCTTTATGTCTATATGTAATTTGGGGAGGTGGTTGTTGTTTGTTTTTGAGGCACGGTCTCACTATATTGCCCAGACTGGCCCCAAACTCCTAGGCTCAAGAGATCATCCTGCTTCTGCCTTCAAAGTAGCTGGGACTACAGGCCCAAGCCACTGTGCCTGGCTTATCTGTAATACTTTCTATGATTTTTTAAAATTTTGTTTATTGGTGCACAATTTATGCAGGGTCAAATGCAAAAATCATAGCATCATGACTTTTAGATAAAATCATAGATTTTAGATTTTTAGACTTTAGATAAAACTCAGCCCCCATATCTCTTCTGCTTTTTGCCAGTTTTTAAGCCGTCTTTAACCAGGGAGCCCCCAGAGTTGGGGCACTGGTAGATTTCATCCAACTGCCACAGAGGAAGAGACAACTGCTATTCTGAGCCAGACATATGTGTGACCTCCAAGGGCAGCCCCACATTAAGAAGTGACCCGGTGGCAGGGTTCATGCCTATAATCCTAGCTACACAGGAGACAGAGATCAGGACAGTGGTTTGAGGCCAGCCTAGGCAAATAGTTCTAGCAAATAGTTCTATCTCAAAAATCTCCCACTTGGCAGAGTGGCTCAAGTGGGAGAATACCAGCAAAGCAAGCATGAGGCCCTAAGTTCAAACCCCAGTCCAGCCAAAATAAATAAATAAATAAATGAATAAAAGGGAAGTGACTCAGTCACAGTCCAGGCTTGCAAGCACAGGGCTCTGTTCCACCCCTCCTTTCCTGCCTACCCTGGGAGGCCGCCACCAGAGAAAGTGAAAGCCCTCACCGGTCTCCCGACTGGGTGATGAGCCGGCGGCAGGTCTCCATCTGCACATCCAGGCCCCGCTTCATACTGCACATCTCCATGTACTCATGCAGGTGCCGGTTCATGTCATTCTTGGCTGTGGCCAGCTCCAGCTACGGTAGGACAGGGCAGGGCCAGCAGGGTTAGCAGGCCTGGGGCAGGCAGGGGAGGCAGCACCTCTACGTCTTCAACCAGGAGGCTAACACATCAAGAACACTACTGGCTAGGGTCCCATACAGCCATGGTTAAAAGCTCAGACTTAAAAAGAAATCAGATGAGCCAGGTGCCACTGGCAGGATGGAGCAAGTTCTAAACTGTGTGGCAGGATGGAGCGAGCTCTAAGCCTGTGGCCTGCCTGGCTCACTCCCTAGGATTCCCTCATCCCTTGGGCTCAGCTCATTCCTTCTTCTCTGTATGATGATGATCCCAGTCTGCCTCCCTAACTTGTGAGCTCCTTTGAGGGTGGGCAGAGGATCTTATTCATCTCTGCAGGCCTACCACTCCCTTGATGGGAACTAATTAACTATAAAATATCTAAAGACTCATGGCAATAGGAAAAAAACTTGTTGCACTATTAAGAGGCTCAATTCTCTTACCATTTCTTCCTTCCTACTTTATTTTCTCACTGGAAATGTAAGTCATTTCCAGATACTAAAAGAAAGATGGGCTGGAGACCTGCCTAGTAAGCATGAAATTAAGTTCAAATCCCAGTACTGCCAAAAAAAAAAAAGACTGCCACACTGAATGGCCTACTGATTACAAGATGTATCCTCCCGACTTTGTAAATCTTGTGTGTGGAAAAATGAAGGGGCTCAAAATCAGTTGGAAGACAGCTTCCCTCCCAGAGCCCAACTCTGCAGCCAGAAGACTGAAGCAGAGTGAGAAGCAAGGCTGAGGCAGAAAAATATCTGGGTCAGAGACAATCTGCTACCTCTCTGTTTTGGGTACAAAGGCCAGGGGCCTGAGGGACCGGAATCAAACTGCTGGGAAGTGATTTGCTTGACTGCCTAAGAGCAAAGAGAAAAGGGAGGAAAGTGCCCATGAAGAATGTGCCTGGGACAGAAAGGAAGCCACCCATAACAAATCCAAGCTGGACAGAAAGAGGATGGGAACTGGGAGGAAGAAGGAAATGGGTCACACGACCAGACAAAAAGGACAGCCAGGACACTGGCATTCAGGGTGAGAGGGTGGCTGGGTGGGCCAAACACCCTCGTGAGGATTGCTGGAAGGGCACATTTGTTCCCACAGCACCAAGAGAGGCACACATGAGGCTGTCAGCTCTCCAATCAGCTGCCACCTCATCCCCTTGACCTGTTACTCCTCCTGGGGAAAGCCACAGGGGAGAGGGCTAGATCCACTTTTCAGGGGGAAAGGGAAGAAGGAAGTGAAGCAAAAAATGTTTTATCAAAATACAAGGCTAGTACTGCCAGCAGTGGCAGTGCCTTAAACATACACATTTCAGGCAGGGATGAGGCAAGCAGAGGATGTCCAGGTTAGGGGACATCTTTCTCAGCCTACCTTGAAAACTCCAGACTGTGTGTGGTGACCAGAGGAGTAGGGTTGTAAGGATGAGAGATGGAGAGAGGCTGGGGGGTGTGTTGAGGGGGTTCAGAAGAAAACTCCCTCCCACCCTGCACTCTGGGCCTCGGCTTTACCAACCAATAATGGGGACTGGTCCTTGCCTCTCCCCATGACCCTGATAGATGGACAGTCACAAGCATAAAGGTGTCTTCAGTGCTCCAAGTGGATCCCTCGGAGCAGCCCTGCAACCAGAGCCACCAAGTCAGCACCCCCAGCTTGCCCCTCATGTCATTCTGCCAGGAGAGGGGAGAAGTCAGACGATTTGCAAACAGCTTCAAAGGCACACTTCCCATGGGGATGTCCTTTTCTTTCTCACCAGGCCATGTTCTCAACGAGGCACTTCTGGTCAGGGGACCAGCCTAACAGAGACAGCAGCTCCAGATCGTTACCTGGTTGAAGGTACAGTGCAAACACCGAACCTTAAGAGATAGGAATAGCTTGGAGAGGGACCAGACAGCAACACAGGTTGTACACTGAAAAATGGAGATCAGTTCTCCCTGCCATGTGTGGCCTTAGCTAGTAGCAGAACTCTGGTGTGCCTCTGAAACTTACCATTTGTCTGCCTGGGCTAAAAACCAAAAGAACTGGTTTAACTTAGAGGAACAGGACCATCTGATATATGTTAGAAGAATGTGTATGTAGAAAAACCACTTTTTAACTTCCTTCTTAAAATGAGGCAAAATGAGTGCAATAAGAGTAGGAATCTGCTGTGTGGGCCTGGGGAAAGCCGCAAGTCAGAGGTCTGCTGCCTCACCCCCACATCAGGGTCATGGCAAGAGCTGCAGGACATGCACACATGTTCCATTCACTTCTCCTCCTATGGCAACTCCATTCTGCAGCTCCATCAATCTTTCTTGTAGCACCTGAGGGCCTATAGTCCACCTGCCATTTCTAAAAGGCTGCCCAAGGCTCAGGAATGAAGAAGGAGATTCTCTATGAGCTCCAAGGCTGAGCTGAGAAGGTAGGAAATCCCTCTCTGAGGGCTACAGAACTACCAGCATTCAAGGTAACAAACAATGCCTACTATGGTACACTCACTATGAACCAGATCCTGCCAAAGCTCCACATGTATCTTACTTCATTTGATCTTCCTCCCAACCCTGGAGGGTGTGGGATGGGAGTGGTTACTCAAATCCTCATTTGACAAATAAAGAAACAGGCTCAAAGCTAGGTGTGATTGTGCATGCCTGTAATCTTAGCACTCGGAAGGCTGAGGCTGGAGCATCACTAGCTCCAGGCCAGCCTTGGCTACAAGGTAACACCGTCTCAAATTAACATTACACAAGAAGAAACAGACTCAGAGAGAATAAGTAACTTGTTCAAAGAAGATGATAAGTGACTCAGCCAAGATCTGAACCTACATCTGCTTCCAGAGACTGAGGTCTCGAAGACCCTCCAGAGGTACCCCAGCTTGAGGGTCACTCTTCCTGGAAACAGAGAGGGGAGGCCCTAGTCCCTAGGCTCCAGCATCAGGAGAGTGCTGTACCTATAGCCTGGCTTGTACCACTGGGGATGGGTCTCTTGGCTCAAGTACATGCCCTTACCTCTATCTGGTCAATGGTTTCCTGATATTCCTTCTCCCGGGTTTTAAACAAGGACTCGGTATCTTTAATCACCTTCTCCAGACTGTCTTCTTGCTGCTGGAGGAGAAAGGGAAGCAAGGGGAGGCCAACCAGGAAGGGACAGGATGGGAGCATAACACAGGGCCAAGATGGGGAGAGAGAGAAAAGTCAGGTTAGAAGAACTGGAGAAAAGAAAAGGAAAAAGGGGCAGACGCAAGGGAAGGATGAAGGCCACACTGGGGGTACAGAGCAAGGAGTGAGGGGAGGGGAGGCAGACAGATGGCAGGCTGGAGAGGCAGAGCCAAAGGGGCCTGAGGCCAGGAGGGGAGGTTACCTCTCCCTGGGCCTCTGCGGCTGCCATGGCATAGCCTGAGAAATCCTCCCAAAGCAGCAGGGTCTCCTCAGTCTCCTCCCAAGTCAGGCTGTCACAGTCGTCCTCAAAATCATACTCCCTCCTAGAGACGGAACCCGTGTGTAAGGGCACTGGGGCCTCTGTCGGGGAGGGGACTGGGGGAGCTCCGGCCTCGGGGACAGGGACAGGTCTGGTGCGGGCAGCTGGGACGGGCCTGTGGGACTCACAGCTGGCTGAGCATGCGCTGCATCTCCTCGTTGATGCTGAGGGCTGTGCTCTCCTCCTCGTCCCCCTCAGGCTGGCGGGGCCCATCACTCTCCGACAGGGAGGAATCCTCCTCCAGGGCAGCCTTGCGCTCCCGCTTCCGCCCCCCCATGGACGGGACCTTAATGGGAAACAAGTGCAGAGACTACAGAGACGAGGCCGGGTGCATGAGGAGAGAGGGCGGTGGGGGAGGCGGGGAGGCCGGCAGGGTGGGAGTGGGGAAGCAAAATCCAGCAGGAAGGGTGGGGCAGACAGAAAAGACACAGTTACATGACAGGAACAGAAACACACAGAGTCACCAAGAGACAGGCAGACACACACAGATGAGCGGGGCTGCAGACTGAGAAGGAAGAAATGGAGAAAATAGAGCAGTAAGATAAGGGGAGAAATGGCTCGTTATGACCACATTAAGATGTGTCTAATGGCTAAAGAGGAATTGCTTTCCAAAAATAAATAAATAAAAGTCTCCCTGATAAAAAAGACTCAACTAAAAACAAAGTTTTAGGCTGTAAGGAGGATGAGGGTTTCGTGTTTACAAAGGAGAGCTTGAATCCCATCCAGATCTGGAAGGCCAGAGGGAGAAGGGAGAGGAAGAAATGAAATAAAGAGAAAAGGAGATTAAAAATGGGGAAGAGCAAGGAAAACTGAAAGGATAGAAGATATCTGTGCTGAAGAGCCCAGCCTGGTGGTTTAGACTGGGACTGGGACATTAATAAGCTTGCGTGAGATCAAACTAACCAGCTTCTTCTATGGAGTAGCAAGAGAGAAGATGAAAGGAAGAGAGAGGAGAGAAGCAGACAGAGGAGGGGGGAGAGGGGGAGATGGCGTTAGAAACAGCTTCTAAAATTCTCTCCTGAGGTTGTTCTTTGCCTCCCAGCCTAGTCCCACCAAGGGCCCCAGGGGCCAGATAAGGTCCCCCAAGAAGGGAGCGGGGGGCAGGGCCTATGCTCCAGGCCAGCCACCATGGAAGCTTCTCTGCCTGCCCCAGCCTCCCCTGAAAGCTGAGGACAGCCAGGCTTCTCACCTGGAACATCTGGATCATGTCCTCACAGTTGCGCTGCTGAGCCACATCACACAGCTTGGCCGTGATGTCGATGCGGCGGCAGATGTCCATATCCACCTTCATGGCCTTTTCCTGGATCTTGGTGTCCAGTTCTGACAGGTTCTGCCAGAAACATGCACAGGGAAGAGTGGGCAGCTGCCCAGTACTTCAGGCAAAGTAACCATCCTTCTTGTTTGTCACTGCTCTTACCTCCTGCATGAAGTCTCCAAACCACTAGGGAACATCCCTTTTCCCAGGGATGGAAACACTCTGAAAATCCATTAGGCTGCTTATGAGCTGGCACCCTAGCCAGGGCAAGCCCAGGGCCTCCCTCATACCAACAGCAGTCCTTACTCCCCTGGAACTTGTGTTCTCAGAGACAAAAGAGACCACTGGGAGTTGTAAGACTAGAGAAAGCACTGGAATAGTAGTGACAACAGCTGGCATTTGCTTAGCACTAAGCACATGCCAGACACTGTCCAAGTACACTATAATCTCAGGATAACCCTGCAAAGTACACACCTTTATTTTCCCCATTCCAAAGGGAGGCTGAGGAGGACTCAGTGGTGAGGAATTGGCTGAAGGCCACATTAACAAGCCACAGAGCCAGCACCTGAACCTACATAGCTGCCTCTAGAGCTATGCCCCTCCTGACACCCTCTGGAAATGGCAAGGCTCTATTGCCTCTGTGACATTCGTGAGCCTTTTGTTCCTTCTTTGTCTAGTGAATTAAGAAGGTGACCAGGGGAAGAAAAGCAAAACCAAAAAAAAAAAAAAAAACCAGAATGGCAAAGTAAGAGAAAGAGCAGCAGACAGGACAGCAACAGGCCAGAAGCAGCAAGGCTGGCTTCCTGGTCCAAACTACATGAGGCCCCCAAGGGCTGAACTCACATTGCTCATGAGCCCCTTGAAGACCACCAGCTCAGCTTTCAACTGCTCCACCTTCATGGCTAGCTCCTCTTGGCAGGCATCAGCCTCCTGTGCTTCCTATAGTCAGGAGAAAATCTTGACATTAGGGCACTGCCAATGCGGAAAGAAGGTAAACATGACAAGAAGGGGCAGGGAGATGGCACAGGGCAAGGGGCCAGTGGGGGGGCCACCCTCACCTCCTGGAGCTCATTCACTCGCTCTTGCAGCTGTATCCGCACCGTGTATTCCTCTTCCCACCTGACAGACATTGGGAAGAGGAAGAGAACATAGGTCCAGAGTCCCTCTTGCTCCTAACAGCCCCCTGTCTCTGGCTTGGGCATCAGTTCCCACGTCTGGCTCCCTAGATGGGGATTTGCCTCCAACAGGAACATGTGGCTAGCTGCAGCTGTCAGGCAGCTCAACCTTCCTGGCAAGGGTCAAGCTCACCAGCTGGCTGCCTGGAACCTCCAGGCCATGTATCAGGAACTATATTTAAGAACAACTGCTGTCGCCCTGGTCCTCTGCAATGCCCATCCCCGCTGGGGCCCCAACTCCACCAGCTGTCTGGCTGGCCTCATCCCCCACCTCCTGCCTATCCCAGACCATCAGGCCCAACCCGGCCCAGTGTCCCACCTTCAGTGGCACAGATCCGGTCTCCCGCCTCCTGCCCGCACCAGAACAGAGCTCGTTAGCCTGCTGCCCTGCCTCCTGGGAATCATTTAACCTTGGGAAAGCATCTGCAGGACACAGGCCAGATCAAGAGCTGCTGAGAGGCCTGGTGGGGCACACTCACAGTCTTGCCCCTGCCCAGAGCCCCTCGATGTGAACCACAGAGGCGAAGGGCTGGCCATCAGGGGTCAGGGATTACTAAGCACCTCCACCCCAAGGGAGGGAACCAGAGCATGACAAGGTGCCTTGCTGAAGGGGAATGAGAGCCGGGGCCAAACCTCCTGATCCAGAATTCAGAGACAAAGACCATGGGGAACCTGAGAGACATTCTTGGCCACAGGGCAAGGCACACAGGGCATTATTCTAGGCTGGGTGCATGCTCCATTCCATCATAGAGATGGAAGCAGGGCCAGTAATGCCTAGAACTTGGCCCTGTCAGTTCAGGACCCCCAGGGTTGGCTGAAATGGCAGCACGTCTCAAACCCTGTCCATGTAAGTTCAGTGGCTCTTGGCCTGGTCTTCAGAGGCTTCTTTCAGACTGAGAACAGAGGGGATGTGCAGAGGACAGCAAGGATGCTAGAATCCCAGAGAAGTCTCTGCAGCCAGGAGGAAGCCCTTTCTGCCCCTTCTCCTTCCTACCTCATCCTCCTTGGTCCCCTGTCTCCTTGCTCTCCTGTGTTCTTCACAGCCACACTGCGGTATTCCTAATAATAACTCCTGCCATCATTCCCCCTCCTGGTCCCTCCCACTTACACTGACAGACAAGCCGCCAGCCTGGACACCACCCTGCAGGCTCACCAAGCATCCTAGCTCCTGTCCTTCCTCATTCCCTGTCCCCTTCCCTGCCAGCCCCCCTCATGTCATTCTCCTTTTGCTCTGGCACTGAAGGGCCCTAGTACTACCATCTGGCTATACATTCTCTTAGATAAGACATTTATCTTTTCTGGGCCTTGGTTTCTTCATCTGCACCATGAAGGCATGGGATATGGTACCCTATGTGTCTGAACTCCATGGGTCCCTGGAGGAAGCCAACAAGACGGACAGGGACTCATAATCCTAGACAAGATACATTAGGGAGGACAGGAAGTACTATTTGACAGCGAACTCAACAAATTCAGGTGGAAACATAGGAAGTTAATTAAAGATGAAGATTATAAACTCTTACAGAGTAAGGAAAATCTAAAAAGGAACCATCTAGGAGCTCACTAGGATTCTATTCGTGCTCCAGCCAGACTTTCACACAAACAGGTTCATTATGACCACCATTCACATTGGCTCTTTTTCCCTTAATGTGAGTAGAATTTGAGCAATCTCTGTGTGTTCTGCATTTACGAAATGCCTCTTCTGCATCCCTGGGCTGAAGACAGATTGCAGGGTCCATTACTGTACTGGAAAAACTGAGACCCAGGAAAAGGTCACACCAGGCAGGGGGGCTGAAAATAGAACCCAGGAGGTCTCAGCTCCTTCCCAGTTTGGTACTCAAGCCACCCCCATGTCTTCCAGCCTAAACACGGGAGGCACAGTGTTACTATAAAGAGACCAGGAGGAGGACAGGGGATCTGGGGTGGAAGAATAAGTACTGCCAGTGCCACATACGGTAAGACTCCAGCCACAGGCCCTCTGCACAGCAGTATACTGCAGAGCGATGAGCTAATCAATCCCCAAGGAATAACTCTTTGCTGCCCTGGACAGCTGAACCAAGGACAAACATCCTTTCAGTGGGGAGGAGAAAAAAAAAAAAGCAGTTGTTCTGTGGCTATGGATGAATTCCATAGAACTGTCTATGTTCCACTACTGACTGTGTTAACTCCTGCAGGGGCAGGCTAGCTCTGGGTGGCACCCAGATAATGGCTTAGAGACAACTGAAACCCTCAAGGACAATTATAACATGCACCACAACCAAGAGAGTCTAGTAGGTTACTGATCCCTGAAGGTCATCCCCAGACCCACCAAAGTACCTTCCTAGAGAATCCAGCCAATCCTCACCCACTGCTAGCCAGACACCAATCCTTGCTACACTGGGCTGCAATAGTAGTCCCAGGCCAGACCACAAGGGGTCACAGTAGCTGAGGGGAGGCTGGAGGCCCAAACTTAGGCATCCCTTTGACTGTCATCTCCTTACTCCTCAACCATGGCCAGGTCAGTCTACAGAGTGCTGCCTGTGCCCCTGCTCCTGTTGTATCGGCCTGGTTACCAACCATTTAAGGAATCCACTTGGTATACAGCAGCACTCTAGTATCACATTCATTCGCCTCACACCCTCTACTATCCAACTGGGATAAGGGTTCTCAGAAAGCCAAACTTCATCCTCAGAACACACTGGGTTGACATTCGGCTGCTTACAGCGTTAGGCTGTGTCCAAATTCCCAACTTTTTCCTACTCCATCCCTTTGCTGGCTCAGAGTACCCCCACCAGTCCTATGACAAATTATCAGTCCCTTTCCCTTGCCGTACAGAATTCCCTTTACTCTTTCTTCACTGTTTCTTTGACTTCATGCAATGCCTTAAGGTCCTGGAGCCTTCTGTAGGGAACCAGATTGAGTACCTGGCTTCTGTGGACATTCCTTGGGGAAACTCTGGGCAGTAACAGGACCATCCAACGCAGGGTGCAGCCCCTCACTACCACCTTCCATTTTCACTTAATTTAGCCTCCAAGTTAAAGCTTTATCCCTTGCCTCCTACTTTTGATCAGTGTTGGAACTTAGGTCCTAAAAAACACCTTAAGGATTGAGACTATAACAATTAGGACTCCCGATATAATACCATTGGTCTCTTTCACACCTCACAAAACCCCCACAGTTGGCACCTTCAATGGAACACTGCAGTTTGCGGGAGACAGAAATGCCAGAAGGAAAGTATAAATTCCCCAGTGACTTGGGTGTTTTCTGTCACGAGTTTGACGTCTGCATTCTTTGTGGATTTAGGCCCTCAGCATCCAATCTTTTCTGAGCTCCTCATTACACATCAGGAACTTTACTCACTGTTATTCCCGGGTCCCCACTGCCCTCACCTGGGAACCCCACACCAATTCCCGACACCCGCCCCCACTTTATGTGCAGAATGTCACTGAGCCCTGTTTCAACCTTCCTGGTCCCTACCTCCGCTTGTACTCGTCCCGCTCCCGCTTCACTTTGGCCAGCACGTTGTAGAGCGCACGAATCTCGGGAGTGATGGTGTCGATCTGGACACCCACCCCGTCAGGGTGCACCCACGACAGGCCAGGTCCTTGCACCAACGTGGGCTCCAGTCCTGGCCCGAATCGGCGTGCTTGCGAGAAGGACCAGATGGTGCCAGGCATGAAGCGGGCCGACGAAGACAAGGCGGTGGAGGTGGAGGTGGAGGACGAGTGGCCGGCCGCGGAGGGCGCGAGGGGGCCAGCGGGCGAGCGAGCAGACGAGCCCAGCACCCGCGCCGACGGGGGACAGACGGCAGCCGGGCGGGTGCCCAAGGGCAGCCCCAGGGGCCGGATGGGGCTGACGAAGCCGGTCTGCACGGCCTGGTCGCGGCGAGTCAGGCCCCGCGGGCCCTGCTTACCCTCCTCCAGCGCCTGCTGCAGCTGCTTTTCCAGCAGCCGGTTCCGGCGCTCCAGTTCGTGCACCTTAGCCAAGAAGCAGCGGAACCGGAGGTTCAGGGTCTTGAGCACGTTGATGTTAGAGCCCAGGTCGTTGCGAAGTGCCATGGCGGCAGGGGGCGCCGGGCCGGGCCCTGGCGGCGAGTAGGCAGCGGGGCCGACAGGGGCGAGTGGCGCCGGGGGCAAGTCCCCTCCCCCTGCGAAGTGGTCGCCTCCCAAGGGGTCCAGTGGCCCAGTCAGGCCCTGCTGCTCCTGCTGTAAGAGGAAGAGGTTGGGACCGAATAACGGATTCATGGCTGCGCCTTCTGCTGGGGGAGATGGAGACCGATGCAGCAGCAGGGATGGAGGGTGAGCAAGAAGAGCCAATGAGGTGCCAGCGCAACTCGAGCGACCAATCAAAGAGCGCGGCAGGAAGGCAGAGGTCAGGGGGGCGGGCAGGGTTTACCAAGGAAAGGCCCCAATTGGAGGCTGAGCCCAGGACCTTTCCGGGTCCAAGACAGAATGCGGAGCCGGGAGGAGTAGCGTGTGACCCGCCAGCCCTTCCCTAGCCAGCGCTGACTGCCTGGAACTCAGGCAGGGGAGCATAAAACCCAGGACCTCCCCTAGTCCAGCGGTTCTGATGGCAGTAAACCTGCCCATCATCCCTACACCCCTGTATCTTCCACTCCCCAAACACCCGAGATACTACCCCACACCTTTCCCTGGGGACAGCAAGGAGGGCAGAACCCTGAAACTGACCTGATACCTCAGGATCCCCAACTCTTCAGAAGATCCCAGACCAGCCTTCCCACCAGTTGCCAGTACCCAGTCCCCTCAAAAAACACACAGTGACCAGAGCTGATAAAATTGTGTATTAAATTTCATGTGTATGAACAGCAGGAACGCCATCCTCACAGAGCTCCAACCCAATGACAACGGCAGTGAACCAGCCCAGTCTTAGTTTCCCACATCCCTCTAAGACAGCAGAGGCTGCCTGCTGGCTACAGATTTTCTCCTCTTTGCTAGTGGGGGCCGGCTGGAACTGAAAGGAGACCCAGTGGGAGCTGGAGTTCCCTTAGAGGTGCCATTCTGTTTCTGCTGCTTTATTTTCTCAGTCCCTTTGGCCTTCCCAAGGGACTGATCACAGTTCTTAAGCCTTGGAGTGGCCTGAGTCTTAGAAAGGGATAGCACAGCAGGTGTTTCTGTGTCCACACCCACAAGAGGGGCTTTCTTCTTCTGGAATTTAAGAGCCTGTCGCTTTAGCTTGCCAGTCACCTTTGGTTCCCTTATCACTTTAGCTTTTCCAGCAGACTGACTGCTCTCCTGGAGCCTTGAGGATGCTTGGCCCTTTATGACAGAAGGTACAGCAGACAATTCTGACTCTGGCCCTTTGGAGATGCCATTCACCTTCTGGAGGGTGGCCTTTTTGGGATGCTGACGTTTCTCCAACTGCTGCTTTGCCTTTGCAGTCCCTTTGGCTTTTTTGTCTGGGTGGCTCTTCTCAGACTTGTTGGTGACCAGGTCAGGCATGTCTAGATCTGTAGGGGTAGCTGTTGGAGAATTTTCTGGGGTTAAAATGGAATGGTTTGAGAAAATGTCTCTCATCATTAAATGGTCTTGATTATTAGTAGAGGAAACAACCAGAGACTTTGCTATCTCTTGGCCAAGTATTCCACTTAATTAGGACCATGTCTAAGAAGTGATGACCTATTTTCATATTATTCAGACTGCATGGCCTTTACTCAAGCCCTGCTTGAACCTTGTGTTAAGAGAAAGGATCACTGCTTATCCCTGGGCCAAAAGGTTTTTACACAAAGCTATGCCCCCTTGAGGACAATAGATAACAAGACACCCCAAGGAGGAGATGAATAAACCTGAAGCACCTGACTTTATTTTTTTTTAAGTCAGAGAATTCAACTTTTTTTTTTCAACAAGGATTTTCATGAAATACAACAAAATAAGAAGGCCCACCCATGACAAGTAGAAACAAGATAGTAAGAGATCAATGAGGACTGAACTATTAAATATGTATAAATTTTGCTATTTCTTAAGATTTTTGTTCTGTTAACATTCAGATTTGATTTTTATTAAGGGACACTGTTTAAAAAGAAAAAAATGGGGGGGGCAGGAAGGGGGTGCAGCTCAGTGGTACACCACTTGCCTAGCATGCAAGTATAAGACCTTGGGTTCAATGCCAGGCATGGTTAAAAAAAAAAAAAAAAAATCAATTCAAATCAGAGTTGGTATTCAGAGCTCTTCTGTTCTCCAACTAACCCTAGGGTTATATACAGAGCACTCAAAGATGTTTCAGAAACCCCACCCTTCCCCCTGAGATCCAGGCCAGACTCCTCAAGATGGCAATTAAGTGTGACAGGCTCAGAAAACTGCTGATAGTTCTGTAGAATTCTGTGCCAACCCATTGCAGAGATGCTGGACCAACAGAGGCATATTACCGGTAAGTCAACCCTGGGCCAAGAAGGAAGTGAAACCACAACCTGCAAATGGAATGCATTTAGTGCTGACAACTGCAGCCACTTGGTAGAATAAGGAAAAGGCCCCCATCTGTGTGAACACTTTAACCTGTTCCAGGGTCAGGGCTCAAAATCAACTGCGGCTGGAATGAAAGGGGTTTCTCATCCAAGCATGCAAAGATTCCCTGAAGTCACACCATAGCCTTTAGAAAAGCAGAAAGAGCAAAGAGGGTAATGAAAGGGAGGAAGAGCAGATCACTTACCTGTTTGGGACTGAGGAATAGAATTGGAGAATTTCTTGAACTTGGCAATAAAGAAACCATCCATATTGTGGGTGTGAGGGTAGAAGCGTCGGGTAGAACGCAGGGTAGGGTGGAAGCGCCTTTCTCGAAAGCGGGTAAAACCTTCCTGACCAAAGTCCAGGCCTGTGGGCACCAGCCGCACATTCCTCTTTTTCAAGGCATAGTCTACCACCCACTCGTTCTCTTCCACCTGGACAGTGAGGAAGACAAAGTAAACAGGAAGGAGTAAGCAGAGCTAAAGCTGAAGGGAGCCCTTAGAGCCCAACAGCCTCCCAGCCTGCCCTGTCAGCCCTGTCAGCTCTGTCAGCCCTGTCAGCTCTGCCCTCCCCTGCTCTTCGAGGGCAGAAGTCTCACCATGATAGAACACGTGCAGTAGACCAGGTAACCTCCTGTCTTGGATGTGGCATTGACAGAGTCAATAGCACTCAGGAGCAACTCTTTCTGAAGGTGAGCACAGCGCAGAATGTCCTTCTCATCCTGTCTCAAAGAGACCCAGGAGTGAGGGAATTTCATAATGTAGCCTCAGAAGGAGTGAGTGACTGCCCTAGGTGCTCAACTGGTCCCACCACCTATTCCTCACCTTGTTAGTCTTCACAGCTGGGTCTTTAGAGATGACTCCAGTGCCACTGCAAGGAGCATCCAGCAGTACTCGGTCAAAGCCCCCTACCACCTAGGGGAAAAGGGTAAGTCAATTAATTACATGGCTTCTGCAGCATGCAGTGTACCATTTGCTTCCTAGGGGCAGGGCTCAACATTCTCATGTTAGGAAGGGGAAGGTAAATTGGAAAAAACCTCAGGAAAGATAAAGAGGGAGAATCCCACCTTGGGGAACTGGCGTCCATCATAGTGGCTAATAATGGTGTTGGTGACTCCCAATCGGTGTAGATTGCCCACAACACTCTTGAGCCGCTCAGCACTGGCATCATTGGCAAGGATCACACCTGTGTTCTTCATCAGTTGAGCTAAGGAGGAAGGGGTCCAGTGCTGAGCAGTCAGCTCCTCTCTCTCCTCACTTCCTATCTACCCTCCAGACCAGGAAGACTCTGGTGAAGTCTTACCCCTTTCAAGGCAAATCTAGCTCTCCCCTGCTTACTACATAGGTCTATCCAGCCTGGTGATGAACAAGCCCACCAATGTGGCTTCCATTTTCCTGACTGTCTTTCTGGCCCTACAGACTAAATTATTCCCGTTACATAATCACAGCTTTGCCAGGCACTGGTGGCTCACACCTATAATCCTAACTACTCAGGAGGCAGAGATCAGGAGGATCTTGGTTCAAAGCCAGCCTGGACAAAGAGTTCCTGAGACTCTATCTAGAAAAACCCTTCACAAAAAAGGGCTGGTAGGGTGGCTCAAGGTGTAGGCCCTGAGTCAAGCCCCAGTACCACAAAAAAAAAAAAAAAAAAAAAAAAAGTAGTAACAGCTTAAACAATAGTGGACTGCTTATTAGTTACTAAACACTATACCAAGGACTTCTATATACATTATTTCAATCCTCATAAGCCAAGCATCATATAAGAGCCAACCCAGGCAAAAGTACATTTTCACAGATGACAGAAGAAAACAAGAGGCCTGCCCAGTCAGCATAGTTAAGTGATACAGTTGACCTTGGAGCCCAGGCCAACTCCAGAAACTGCTCCTCCCTCTCTGCTAGCTGTTTGTACACTAGTACCAAGGAGTCATCAGCCCTGTCTACTTACTTTTTTTGGGGGCGGGGGAAGAAGGGACACTGATATTTGAACTCAGGGCTTTGCACTTGCAAATGGGCCTCCAGTTCATTTTGGTCTCATTATTTTGTAGATAGGATCTTGAGAGCTAGGCTGGCCTTGAACCTCAATCCTCCTGCTCTCAGTCTCCTAAGTAGCTAGGATTACATGCAAGAGCCACTGGCGGCTGGTTGAGTCCTATCTAACTTTCAAAAGCAGAGAACCAAATGAAGCCCACCCAGCCTGCCCTTCACATACCTATGTAACTTGTCTTTCCTCCAGGAGCACAACACATGTCCAGGATCCGCTCATGTTCCTGGGGTGCCAAGGCCACAATGGGCAACATGCTGGAGGCTCCCTGCAGCATATAGTGCCCAGCCAGGTACTCAGGAGTAGCACCTATGCAAGAGAACTGCCCTGTAACAAGCTGGCACAAGGAAAGGAACAGAAGGGCAACTGGGCAGGCAACACTTACCAATGGGCACTGAAGAATCATATACTACAAGTCCAGTCTTTGACCATTTGCCCAAGGGATCCAGGTTAACCCCACGATTAATTAGAGCCTAAAGAAGTATAAAGATGAAAAAACCTCATAAGCTACTCTAACTAGAAAACAGATGGAGATATGAAAACCTGATCCATGCCTATCAAGTGTGGGGCCCTGAGTTCAAAACCCAAAAGAAAACCTGGCCCTACCAGCAGGTCCAACAACTCCTATAGCACTCCCAACAGCCAGCAGAATCACTGAACAGCTCCTCCCCCTCTTATCCCATCCATGTGTTCATTCTCATATTCATTCTCTCTCTCTCTCTCTTGTCCTTCCTTGTCCTTTTTGTAGTATGATGGATGGAACCCCAGGGCCTTGTGCATAGTAGGCAAGCATTCTACCACTGAGCTACACCCCCAATCCCTGCCCTTTTTTCTTAACCGCAGGTTCCTAACTCAAGCTCTGAACTTCATCCCAATGGGGCATGCTGTCCTCCTGGTTCTTTCACTTCCTGGAAGTGAACTCTGATTTTCAGAGTGGCTCAGTCTCCTCATTCAAAACCTTAACGTTACTGGTTATAATACATTAAAGATAATTACTAGGTTATCTTTACAGCAGAAGATACACAATATGCAAGACCACACTACTGACTTTAGGACAGGGGTCTTTAACCTAGGATCCCTAAATCCTGGCAATGAGCTTAAAACACTGTTTGTACATCTTTTTTCCAGGGACAGGAATCCATTTCACAATGACCTTCCTCAAATCTTCTTAGAAGGCAGCAGTTTACCCTAAGGCAGATGCCTCAGCCTGGTTATAGAGAATAGAGGTTGGAAAGTTATGTTTCCCATTCCACAGAGGTCCATGCACTCAGTCTGCCAGACAGATACCAGGCCTCTCTCCATTTGCTTGCCACAATCAGGCTTCCACAAAGATATGTTTAAAATTTAGGTCCTAAGAACCCACCCAGCCAGGGCAGACAGAGCCATCTCCAGGTAGGGGTTGGTCACGCCCTGAGATAATCAACTCTGACTCCTCACCTGAGCAAGGTCCCGGCGTCGAGTTTTCAAGGTATTGGTCCGGAGGGTGATGGGACGAGGTACCTCATTGGCTTCTAAGAACTCTATTAGCTGCATTAGAGGCAAGATAGCAGGGACTAAGTCAGGCCAGCCGAAGCACTCAGTCAAAGAGAGCAAGGGGGCTGAACGTCTTCTTCACATCAGGTACGAATGCGAGAAAAGCAGAAAAGACATTAGACTGGCAAGCCAGTACCTCAGACAAAGGGAAGAGCTCCATAAGTTTGCCAAGCAGGAAGTCTCCATATGAGTAATAAGTGGCCAGGTCCTTCTGAAGCCGATTCAAATATTCAGAACGAGACCGACCTTCTTCCCGCTGAGCCCCAAAATCACGCAGCACTCCCACTATATCCTGAATCCGCTTGTGAACTCGTTGCAGGTCTGGAGCCTGAGCATGTGGGCCAGTTAAGGAACTGTTTCATGAAGTTCTAGGGCTGGGAAATCCCCTCTCCCAAAGCACTTTTCTCCTACCCTCACCCTATGCTGGAAGGATATCCTGCTCCATATCCCCGGAAGAGGGCAGCACAAAGTGCTCCTCCTCGTCCACATTGATCTGCAGGCTTCCATCTGTTTCACCATCCTTTCTGGGGCCTGACTCAGGAAATATTTCCTCGTCTTCCTCTTCATCAGTCTCCTCACTCCACTGGTCCCTAGAAACAGGTCCAGGAACAGTGATTCACATACCAAAACAGACACCTCCTCCTTCCGCACAGCCTCCTCTATCCCAGCTGCTGCCTAAGCAGAATCCTAACAGTATCCAAACTCACCCAGCAGCAGCTTCCTGAGCCTTCTGCTTCTGAGCAGCTCTTTCAATGGGCAGCAACTGAAAATAGGGACAAAGGACTGATAATGCAAGTTCACCCATCTGTCATCCCATGTCAAACTTTCTATCCCAGTAGTTTATTTTTTCCAAAATATAAATGTAGCACTTATTCTCAGAAGCAAATACGGAAATTAAAGAAATGAGTAAGATCTGACACAGAAGCTAGAAATGTAGCTCAATGGTAGAGCACTTGCCTTGCATGTAAGACCCTAGGTTTGATTCCTGAACACACACAAAAAAATCTTGACGCATGGACACTGCTAAAACTAAATGATGAGTTAATAGGAGTCCATTACATTGCTCTTCCTACTTTTATGTATATTTCCTTTTCTTCTAGCACCACTTGGCTCTGTATTTCTTCTCTTTTTTTTTTGGTGGTACTGGGGTTTGAACTCATTCATGATCTCACGCTTCCCACGCAGATGCTCTACCACTTGAGCCACTCCACCAGCCTGTTCTGTGTTAGGTTCAAGACAGGATCTCAAGAACTGTTTACCTGGGGCTGGCTCCAAACTGAGATCCTCCTGATCTCTACAAGGATTATGCACATGAGTCACCAGTACCCAGGTGTATTTCCCTTTTTGATTAAGACCAAAAAAAAAAAAAAAAAGAGAGAAAGCTCTCAGAGTGGCTCAAGGGGTAGAGCATCTGCCTAGCAAGCATGAGGCCCTGAGTTCAAACCCCAGCACCACCCCCCACCCAAAAAAAAAAGGAAAAAAGAAAAGCCAAGTATAGTAGTACATGCCTGTGATTCCAACATTTAGGAAGCTGAAGCAGGAGAATCCCAAGTTTAAGGCCAGCATGGGTTACATAGAGAAACCTCCATCTCAAAAAACAAAACCATAAACACTCATATGCAAAAAAGGAATCAGAAAGTGCTCTTGGGTCCCATTTTTGCCATATTTTCCTCCAGACTTACTCTATTATCTGTAACATAGTTCAAATCACAGTGCACTTTCAAGTTTGTTTCTTGTTTTTAATTTTCAGTTAGATGAAAAGCATTTTCAGAGATATAATGGCCAATCATATGTACAACTATAACCTACTTAAGCATACTGAATATTTTGGAAGTTTCCAGAGTTTTTGCCATTGTGACTCACATGGTACTTGCACATGGTGATTCTGAGGGAGGAGGGGATGGGAAAGAGTGAAAATAGGGATTTTCAGCAACATATTTACATGCTAAGTGTGTGATGATTTCTTGTACCTCATTAATTAACCTTTGCCTACCTTTTAGATTCCTGCCTAACAGAAAATTAGTAGGTCAAAGGGAAGAAACTTTTTGAGACAGTCTTGCAATACTGCCCAGATTGGTCTTGAACTTTTGGGCTCAAGGGCCCCTCCTGCCTGACCTTCCCAAGTAACCAGGGCTACAAGTGTGTACCACCTCACACAGGCAGAAAGAAATTTTTTAAGTTCTTAGGCAAAAATTGTTTTATAAGAAATGTTTCTGCATGTCTGTTCCCATTAGTGGGGTGCAAAAGTGTTTATCCAGCTTCCGCATGTTCATGATCATCTTTGTCTTTTAAATGCTCTATCCTACCTTTAAAACTTGTGTGCTGAGACCATATCAGCCCACAAGGAAGCAATGATGAAGCGCTAGAGTGACTTTCAACAGTCAGGTCAAAGATATTTGTCACTGAGGAGTCTCAACAGTTTCTACTGGAAAGAAACTAAAGGCAAGGGAGTGTAGTGGTACACACTTGTAATACCGACACTCAGGAGGCTAAGGCAGGAGGATCATTGGTTCTAGACTAGCCTGGACTGCAAAAGGAAACGGAGAAGGAGATGAAAAGATAAGAGAAAAAAGAGAAGAGAACAACTAAAAGGTAAAGATCTACTTGTGAATACCCCAAGAAGTGACTCTTACCTTTTCACCTGCATCCTCATCCTCTGATCTGGAGTCAGCTCCATAGTCATCAACCATATCAGCATCACTGTCCTCAGAGCCCCAGAGGTCCCCCTGGTTCACCACACCATCTTCTTCAGAGTCTTCCTCCTCCTCTTCCTCGTCACTGCTATGTGGTGGGGCTGGGCGCTTCTTACCTCGACCAGTGTTAATTAAGGACTGGGCTCTCTTCTCACCAGGTGTCTGGACTGCTCCTAAAAATATTCCCAAGGGTTTGTAGATTCCTGGACTAGAGGCAAGCACACTCCTTGACCCATACCTCTGGAGCCTTACTTTCTACTCCTAAGATCATTCTTTGCTCCTTTCACTCCAGAAATGCTCAGCCCTGTCCAGGACCCAGAAGACTGCTCACGTAGCACCTAGTTCCTGTGTTCACTGACCTTTTGGTAGCTTTCCAGGTAATGTTTTGGTCCCAGGAGATTTGTTTGTCTTAGAGACTTCAAAAGACCCCAACCTCCTCTTGGCTGCCCTGAAAAGATATAAGTAGTGAGGAAATGGGAACACGCCTCCAGGCTCCACCATCTCCCATCAGGGTATCATGACAGTTCACAATTAGCCCTCTCCATCCAACTATCCCACGTGACTAAAGAATAATCCAATTTACCTAGGTCTGGACATCCACACTTACCTCTTTCGAGCACGACTAGACAGCCTCTTGGAATTTTCATCACTAGCTGTGTGGGAAAAAAAAAAAGTTATAGAAAAATGAAAATGAGAAATAGGAACGGAAATGTGAGAAGAAAATTGGTAATTAAAAGAAGTAGAGAGTTGGGGATTTGGCTAAGTAGTAGACCCCAGGTCTCAATGCCCAGAACTATAAAATAAGCAAACAAGAAAATTTAAAAATTAAAGGGAATAATTATAACTTAGTCCACAATACCAAGTTAGGAGGTAGCTACGTGTGAAGGAGCATATATCTCATATCAAAAGGTCCTGGGCCATCCCCAGCACCATCAAAATAAAAAAAGATGCAGGAGATGGAAGCACTCATCTGATCAACAGCTGAATCCAAACTGGACTTTCCTCCAGGTTTCAATAAACAGCATACTCACATCCTGGTAACAATATAGATTCAAAACTTACCAGGCTGGTGGAGTGGCTCAACTGGTAGAGACTAGCAAGTGTGAGGCCCTAAGTTCAAACCCCAGTACCACCAAAATAAAAAAATAATAATTCTTTTCTTCTGCCCTATCCTTTATTCTCAGTTTATTCAGTTACCACTTGTATACTTTTAACTTCACTAATGCTGTTTTTTATACTCTCCAAGAACTAAAAGGCAAGTCAGGTGCTGGTGGCTCATGCCTGGAGGAGGCAGATATCAGGAAGACAGCAGTTTGAAGTCAGCCCAAATAGTAAATAGTTCAAGGCTCTAACTTGAAAATATCCAACATTAATACAGGACTGGTGGAGTGGCTCAAGCAGTAGAGTTCCTGCCTAGCAAGCATGAAGCCTTGAGTTCAAAGCCCAGCACTGACAGGGAAAAAAAAAAAAAAAAAAAACACACACACTCACAAATCTCAGCCCTGTCACTTAATAACTGTGTGCAAGACACTTAACCTCCAGCATCCAGTTGAATGAGGACTTACTAAAACTTCAATAAATTGCGTCTTTCATCTAATGCCCAACACAAAGTCCCTGCGATGTCTTTCTTCCCGTCAGTCCTCTGTGTACTAGTACTCACCATGTTGGGGACTCACACCCATGCTTTCATTCCATTCCTTCCATCAGGTAACTCAGTGACTAACTAGCCCGTCTCCTCTCCAACACCCCACTTGCAAAAATGTCACCCATTTTTCAAAACAAAGCTTAACAAAAGTTTTCTAAATTCTGCATGAGATGCCTTGCTAATAAACTGTACAACGCTAAACGTCACCTCTCCTTGCATGGGTACCTGTGTCCCAGCTGCGTTTTAAATAACTTTTAAATACGCGTGACAGTGTTCCGCTTATACTTATTTCCTAATAACTCATACACACCCCTGAACAGAAAGTTAACGCAGAGACTCAAAAGGGAAGGGGGCTGTGATACAGAATGGCGCAGAAGCTGGGGGTATCAAGGAGCTGCGACCCTCACCTGCAGGCAAGAATCTGACGAGCTCAGTCTCAGCGCTCTTCTGTTTTCGGGCCTTTCGGCCAGGCCCGCGCTTTTCTTTCTTTGTAGGATCCAACTTGCGCCCCATGGTACTGGGGAAAATAAAAACAGAAGACGCTGTTGCGCGCGTTGGAAAGGGAACACAGGACGCATGCTCGGCGACATCAGTGTGGGAAACCGTACCCCAACAGGCCCCTCAGGCCCAACCAAACCGCTCTCCCATGGACAATGGGCCCTGCACGTCCCGCCTCACGGCAGGTGAGCACGCTATCCTCGCCTCCCCGGATTCCTGCAGACCTCCGAAACCTCGGCTCACCGTGAGGGGGCTCCGGCCGGGACACCACGCAGCAAAGTTCGGCTCCACGTGCACCCGCAGAGCTCTTGACTGCCTCACGCCGCAGAAGCGACTCGCGCAGGCGCAGAGAGCACGCCGACTGCGCCCCGCCTCTTCCGGCCGCCGCGCCCGGAACGGACGCGCAGCGGGGACGCGCGGAGGTCCTGCCGCGTTTCCCAGCCCAGCGTGGGGAAGTGCTGAGCGCATTGCTCAGTCTGCCCCGCCCCTCCCTCTAGGCGTTTGCCTTTTTCTGTCAGAAAAGTTTTTTTTGGCGGAACTGGAACTTGAACTCAGGGCTTCACGCTTGCAAAGCAGGCGCTCTATCACTTGAGCCACACTTCCAGCCTAAACCAAGCATTGTGAAAGCTGTCCCCGGGGCTCGAACCTGGGCATAATAGCGGAGCCTCACCCTGGCATCCTCTGCTCTAGCTCGCAGTCCCATGCCACTTAACTCCTACTCCCTACCCGCTGACCAGGAAGCACCCTTCCTCATGGATGCCACCTCCCACCCCAAGTCCCCACCAGACTTCTGGCAAGAAAAACCTCCTTAGCCTCCCTTCAAACTAGCATTAAACTAGCTGAAGAAACTGCTTCAATGGCTGGGCGCCTCAGGGTAGGCACTTGCCTAGCATGCAGGAGGAAGTAAAAACCATTCCATGCCAGGCTCTGGTGGCTTATGCCTGTAATCCTTGCTACTCAGGAGGAACCGGGTTCCAAGCCAGCCGGGGGCAAATAGTTTGCAAGACCCTATCTCGAAAAAACCCTGGAGTGGCTGAACCAGTAAGAGCACCTGCTTAGCAAGCGTAAGTTCAAACCCCGGTGCCGAAAGAAAAAAAAAATCCAAGCGCTACTGGTTTTGTCTTCACAACTCTGAGGTAGATTATCTTTGTGTAAAACATCGGCAGCCCAGCAATTGCTCGAGGTCACAAAGTTATGCCGCAGGCAGATTATCAGCCTCTCATTTTCCACAGGTGGTCACCCTTAGCCAGGAGCACAGTAGGGACGAACTCGGTTCTTCAGGGGTGACGTGGTCCTGTTTTCAACTACCCAGTTCTGGGGCTCTGTCCATACACACCCATCCACCTAAGCCTATACCCACACTGAATCAGAACACTAAAATACAAGGAAACTTTTATTTTTGATTTTCATCAAGAAATTTGCTGCGGTTTTTTATGCTTTTGGTTCTTTTTACTTTTTTTTTCTTTTTTTTTTCCACTTTATTTCATTTTAGCCGCTCAGTGGCTGGAGCCGCTGGGTTCCTGGTATTAAAAAGATGCCAACAGAGGTAGCTGTGTCTCGCCCAGGGGCCCGGCCCACTCTGAATACCCCAAAAAAGGAGAAAACACAAAATAAACCAACAAAATAAAACCAAAAAGAGGAAGAAATTCAGATCATTTTCTTCAAGCCTGGCAGGAACCCACAACAGTTTGTGTGTAACAGACGTTACAGTGGGAACAAGCCAGGGTCCAGAAGGCCAGCCCGCCAGCTCCCTGCAGATGGCGCCGGCGCTACTGCTGCATGTCTCTCCAGCAGGAAGGGCACCACTGCCCCTCACTCCCTCCCCTTCCCCAGTGCAAGGGGGCTGTTCCTTTACAATATGGAAGATGGGCAGAAGGAAAGCAAGGGTCTCTCAGGCCCTCAGGGGAGAAGCTGGGACAAGAGAAAGTGAGGAAGGTCACTGCTCAGCGGTGGAGGTGGTTATCCTCAATCTGGATCTTCACTGCTGCTGGGCTACCTATAGGGAAAGATAAGAGTCAGAATTCCAGACCCCAGGAATTACCAGATCCCAAGGGACTTCAGTGACAAGACAGTCCAACTACTAGTAGTAGTTACAGACAAGAACAAAGTTACAAGTTCCAGAATGGTTCTGTGGGAAGAATTGGCACATAGAAAAAAATGGTCCAACCTGCTGTGGGGGAGGTTCAGGTGCCCGGTTTGCCAAGCGGCTGAGAATGTTCCGCTCTGACATCTGTAACCTCACAGCAACTGGGGGAATTCGAGCAATGGTAGCTGGCAGTCGAGTCACATCAGCTTTCATGTCACTTAACAGTTCTTCCAGCTGTTTCAGAACTGCAGAGGGGAAAAACAGAGGTGGTGAGCTTGCGATGGTCAAGATGGAAATCCTTCTACCCTAGTGGACCAGCCATCGCAGTCCCACTGCTTCTTGGGTGACCAAGTGAATATGGTGTATTGCCTTTTGGCACTGAGTAAACTGACCTGTCATTCGGCCATGCTCAAATTCCTATTCATCATATACCAGTTCCAATTGTCCACAATTCACTACCCAGGCTGACCTTGAACTCCTGGGCTCAAGCCATCGTCCTGCCTCAGGAGCTGGGACTACTGGCCACCACACCTGGCTGATTACTGTTTTGGGAAGTTTTTTCCCCCAATAGTGGGAATTGAACCCGTGGCCTCAAGCATGCCAGGCAAGCACTCTACCATCTGAACCACAACCCAGCCCTTTTGTTTATATTTAGTTTTTGACATAAGAGTCTCGGTACTTTTTGCTTGTGTTTGCTGATCATCCTACCTCCACCTCCCAAGTAACTGGACGTAAAAGCATGTGGCACACCACCTGCTTACTCTGCTTCTAACCTAATTATTTCTTCCTCTTGTATTTCCTCCAATTCCCCCTCTCCCTCCACCCCCACTTACCCAGGGGTCCAAAGATGAACCCAGGGCCTTGTGCCCCTCCACTTGCGAGAAACTCAGGCCTAGGGTTTCCTTTTCACAATTTTATCTTAGTCCTCTCCTTTCTGGATCTGTCTCCCACTTCCTTTGTGACAGCTATCTTTTCCTCATTTCACCCTCCACCTCCTCATAATGGTTTACTTTAATTAGAAGCAAAATGTTGAAAGGGGTCTAGAATTTGAAGGGATCTTAAATCACCTGAAGTTACCTCTAAAGTATCCCAGATGACACTCTATTATTCTGCTTTGCTTTCCATCTCATGAACCTGAATATATTAAGCTAAAAAAGACAAAGAACTACTGTCCTTGATGTCTCTAAGACAAAGATCCTCAGCACATTCTAAGCTCCAACCAGGCTCTGAAAACAATTTGGAAGCAAAAAGCCTATGGATATCAGGGAGGGGTTAGTGGGAAGGAAAGGCTGAATGGGCAGGAGGCAGGGGAGCCACTGGCTACCTTTGTGCAGGACTGCATTGGCTGGCTTGTTTCCTGCCATTGACTCCTTGGACAGGTGCTGGTGACTTTCCGCCAAACACTCCACTTCAGCAAAGCGGGTGTTCAGGGCCATGGAAGGGTGCGAGGGGTCCTCTGACATGTTCAGGTAAGCTGCCCTGCGCAGCTGTTCCTCAATTACCAGGGCTTGTTCTAAGAGCTGGACAAGGAGAAAGAAGAGATGGGAGTTGAACTGACAGTCACTTTGCTCACTTCTGAGGGGCCACTCAGCTCACAGCTTCCTCCAGGTTATAGGAACCTATAAAGAACTTCAGGGATTGTTCTCGACACCATTCCTCACCCAAGCAGTTCAACATTACATTATCTTTTTCTTCCCCTTTGGAGAACCACTTTTTTTTTTTTTACAATTCTTTATTCTTTAGATTCTCTCATACAAAAATGACAAACTCAAATTCATGAACAAAAGCATACGATTAAAATAATAAAAAAAATCCCACCTCCTAGAGATATTGTCAAGATTCTGGTGCCTTTCTTTCAAGATTTTTTTATGCCTATCTTTTTTACATAATGGAGATCATGTGTAATATAATATATATAATGTGTATATATACACACACACTCAACCATGTTATGTTTCACTCAAAGTTATATAGTAGACATTTTTCTTTAACTACTCTTCGAATACATGGGGAGGAATTGTTTGTCTTTTAAATAAGAGACAGGATCTTGCTATGCTGCCCAGATGGGCCTCAAACTTACAACTCTCCTGCCTCATCCTCCCAATTAGAGGAAGTAAAGGCATGATGCAACACCATGACTAACAAAAAGTGATTCATCCTATGGATATACCTTCTGTATCACTTAGGTTCTTTTACTCTTTAAAAATACTATAATCTCAGCACTCAGGAAGCTGAGGCAGAATGATGGGGAATTCAAGGTCAGTCTGGGTTACATAGCAAAACCTTGTCTTTTTTGTTTGGTTGGTTTTTTTGGGCAGCATGGCATTTGAACTCAGGGCCTCACACTTGCTAGGCAGGGGTCTACCACTTAAGTCATTCCACCAGCCCTTTTTTATGATGGGTTTTTTCAAGATAGGGTCTCGCCATTAGCATCGCATCTGTCCGGGGCTGGCTTTGAACCGAGATCCTCCTGATCTCTGCCTCCTGAGTAGCTAGGATTACAGGCGTGAGCCACCAGCACCTGGCTGAGGGTACAGGAGTGTTGAATTCAGGCCTCCTGACTTGAGCCGTGTCTCTAGCCCTGCTTTAGTTTTGTTCAAGTAGGGGCTCACATTTTTTCTGGGCTGGCCTCAAATCTCTGCCTCCAAGAAGCTGGGATTATGGGAGCAGCTGTTGTTGCTATTCTATTTCTGTGAAGGGTATTTTGGAGATAGGGTCTCATGCACTATTTGCTGGCTTCGAACTGCAATCCTCCTGGATCTCTGCCTCCGAGTAGCTAGGATTATAGGCATGGCCACTGGCGCCCAGCTTTCTCTTTATTTCTGTATCTCACTCCCATTCCTTCCTTTTCCAAAAGGCAATCCTTCTAATACATTTACTGTGCTTTTTTGTGTGTGCTATTTTTTTTGGTGGTACTAGGATTTGAACTCAGGGCCTCATGCTTAATAAGCAGGTGCTATACCACTTGTGCCACTCCGCCAGTCTTTTGTGATGGTTTTTTCGAGATAAGGTCTCCAAAATGATTTGCCCATGCTGACTTTGAACCTTGATCCTCCTGATCTCTGCTTCCTGAGTAGCTAAGATTACCGACGTAAGCTACTGGTGCCCAGCTTTGTGTGTGTTCTTTAAGGCTGTGTTATTTCACACACATAGATTTAATTTACAAAATGCTTCCTGTACACACAAATGCTTTTCCCACTGCCCATCTTTTTAAAAGGTTTACTTGTGCTGTTACATGCACATGTATTGTTGCTTACCATT